TGGTATTCATGTAATAATGATCAAGCCTGAAATAGTGGGAGCTCATTGATACTATATGATAGTGCTTTTTAATATATAGCGTTGCAATAATGAATTACAGTAATATAGAGACAACATACTTGTATTGAACTGCATATATGTGACAAATGATAGGGTTAATTTTCAATTAAAGAGACCTGATCAAAATGCGCGCACACACCTCATCCCATTGAATTCCTCCTTTCACAATAGAGTTACCTCCCTCCACCATAAAACCAATCTAGGTATAAGTGTATATATAAAGAGAGATTCTTTGGACATGCATGTTAATTTCGGAAAAATAAATAATAATCTTTGGAACTGTTCAGTTCTTGATTCCGAAAACTGAACTAAATAGGTTTTATTTTCAAAATTTTTATTAGATGTTTCTAGAAGGCGAGTCCAATCAAAACTAATGTTTAGATTTCTTTGTAATATATTAATACATTTTTTTTGTCTTGGAAATTAAATACATGACTCCTCCTTTTCGTGCATGGGCAAGATTCTACAACACTTCCACAGAAATGAGTTAAAAGTGTTCAGTTTGTCAATCATAAGAAATCATGGCATATGTGTTTTAATTATTAGCCTAACCCGGCCTTGATATCTCTATGAATATAGATATGTGAAATATATATATATATATATATATATATATATATATATATATATTGTATAATATATTTGTGTGTGTCTGAATTATAATATATACATATAGAGATAGAGAGAGAGGGGATAAGGTGTTTGTGTTGGGGGATGCTTTGCTTCAACTTTCTTCTCTCCATGCTTCTTGGCAAGTTGCCAAATGTGGGCTAGTCCACTGACGCAAACAATAAACAAACCAAGTAATCAATCACCTCTCTCTCTCTCTCTCTCAATGTAGAGTATATATCATTGAAAGTTATGGTGATCAAGATGGTACCCCATATGGGGCGGTGCTGCTTTACTCTCACTTAGTTATAAAGATGATCCGTTGAACGTGTCAGCACCCTACAGCTTTTCATTCTTATCATGAACCCACTTGGACCTTTTTTTCGTTGAAATATATATATATATATGTATAAATGTATATATTATTATACTAATTAATAAATAAATTGTGGAAAAATCTGTATACAGCTGGCTGTGGAGTTGATGATTGAACACACATTAATAGATAGCAAGCGCCGTTGTGTGACTGCAAATTGGAATAGTGAGTGAGAGCAATGGTAATGTGGTGGTGGACCTCTGTGGTGGCCACTCATGCCGTTTTAGGAGACCATATTTTTTCAGACTTTGTGCTTTGCCTTTTTCGGCCTTGTTCTTGTTTGTGAATGATTGGGGGCATTCTCTCTCTCTCTCTCTCTCTCTCGATTCCATCAATGTCTCTATTCAATATTGGATGCTCACGCCATTGAAAACATATAGCGTGAATGCGACACTGAAATCACTAAAAAGAGAGTAATCAACGAGATGACCAATTTTTCTAATGTTTTGTGCTCCATTGTGTCTTTTGTAACCTCTTTCAAGAGACAGACAGGAAGACACATGATGTGGAGGAACCTCCTCCAGTGGAAAGATTCTTGCCTCTCCATTACGCGTCAGATGAGATTATGTGATTTCATTATATACCGTCGCTTAGTAGTGCTGGGACCCACTGCAAAGTATGATTATTACTTCTTTTTTATTTTTTTCTTCAATTATTTTTAAAATATTATATAAAACCATGTTGTTCGGTAAAACGATGACACGTCAATGGTAAGGAGGAAGTTCCACCACACAGGTAAGAAGGATGCAACCTTTTAGAGCTTAATAAATTTTGGAAATTATTGGATAATTTTGCACCGTATGATCTATCTAGTCCAATCAAAATTCCGCTTCAAGTTTATTTGTAATATCTTATTAAACTTAATAGGTCTATATTTCTTACTTGGAATCATAGAACATGTCATTTCAATTCAAGCTCGGCACCACAAAGTATATTATTAACCTCAAACATGTATGTGAGACAACTCGATCACTTCACTGTTCAGGTGGTATTATTTGGTTTGAAAAGTGAGAAATTACTACTTAACTTGTATTGTTATATTATTGTATATATCCACTTACTAATAGTGGGACTCACCATAAAAAAAGAATATTTTTCTTTTATTATATATTTTTTTAATATTATAAAAATGCATATGGTCTAAAAAAATTATGACACATAAGTTCCAAAGAGGTCTTCACGCGTGAGGAGGGAAGAAAGTGAATGCTAAGAGCATCTCCAATGCTAAAACCTATTTTCGTATGCCAAATCTATATTTTGACAGGTGTTACAGTGTCAAAATACTACATTTTAGCAATTCTGCACTTATGGTACATTTCACGCAAAATGCTATTTTTTAACACAACCACTATTCTTTTTCAACTACCATTCCCACCATTCATATTTGTATCAGTAATAATAATACTAGGCACATTCTAAATTAAGTTGTAGACATTAGAAGGAAACTAAAATTAAACCTAATTAAAAAGAAGTACAAATCTAAAATATTTGGTCAAAAAAGGACAAAAAAAAAAAAAAAAAAAAAAAAAAAAAAAAACAAATTTTTTGTAATTTTTTACCACTATTTGTGAATTAATTTTTTTTCCCGAAATTTATATATAATATATGTATATTATATATATAATATACATATAGAGATGTAAGTGGGTAATGACTGATAAGAAACGACACCGTTTTGAGAAATAACAGACTTGCCAAAAAATTTTGGCAGCTGCCATATATAAGAAGAAATTTGAGAATTTCAAATTTTGAGAACTCAAATAAAAGTCCATTGAAGAGGCCTTTTTTTACTCAACTCTCATATTTTAAGTTTAAGAGACCCAAATGAAAGAGCATTTGAGTTGCTCTAAGGCACCTCTAATTCTAATCAAGACCCATTTCCAAGCTCCTTTGTATCATATTAAAACTTTTATAGGTCCACTTTTTTTAATTTGAAATTTTTTATTGGATTGGATCAGGCAATAGCCATCATTACTAACCCCAAACATGTGGACTGCCCTTTTCAACCAAACTAGGAAAAATTATTAGATGGTCAAACACAAAAAGATAGTAAAAAGAAATTTCTTCTGAAAAAAATATTCGCTTAAGGAATCTCCTCCGTACCATAGATGTGGATATAGATTATTTTTCTTTTCATTAATTTATTTTTTAAATATTATAAAATGGACAAGACTTGTCTATTCATCTGTGAGTAGGTCATGTATTCATCCTGATGTGGTCCAATTACAAATTCACATAGTCTCTAATTATTAAATCAGGAAATTGATAAATAAGAAATCAAAGAAGATCACTGAATTTATTCAAAAAAAATATAAAATTTATTATCCTTATTTATCACTTTCCTCATTTTGCAATGGACAATGCTTAGCTACTCACTGATGAGTAGCTTCAACCTACTCACCCCTTATATGTTCCAATAACAAAATAACACGTCAACTTTAATAACAAAATAAGCAAAATAAAAAAATTTAAAAAATAAAAAAATAAAGTCAGATCGACCCGTTTTAATTAAGTAATCACTCTTTCTCTTTTCTCTCTCTCTTTCATCAATTCCCAAACACACCCTCTCTTTTCACTCTTCTTCTTCTTCTTCTTCTTTTCACCTATATGGGACATCATCAATCAATGAGCGAACATGTTTGATTCGTGTTTGGGTTATTTTTCTTTTTTCTCTCGTGTTTCATTGAAAGTGAAAAAATTGGGAATATTTGTTGAATGATAATTGAAAATCCCTTTCTAAAAATTAAATCCTAAATGTGCAAAGCAAATTTATAGAGGAATCCAACAAAGGCCCTGGGGAAGTGGGCAGCCGAGATACGTGACCCCCAAAAGGGAGTCCGAGTTTGGCTCAAAACATTCAAGAAGGAGTCTGATAACCAAGTAGTGATGCGCGCTATGTTATGTTAAGTGGTTTTTGGTGAAGATAATATATATATATATATATATAATATTTGTATAAATAAGTTACATGTATTTGCATGTAAACAACCATCCATGTTGTCCTCCTCTGTACTTTCTAGATCGTGGACAAATGTTTGACGATGTTTTATTCTTTTTTATTATTATTATTTTCTTTTTGAAATGTATGTTGAGGATGTTAATCATTAATGAATTTGTAGTTTTTTCCATTCTTCAATTTTGTTGTTGGCTCATTGATTGACAATGTCCATGGAGGTGCGAAGAAGAAGAAGAGTGGAGAGAGAGGAGGATGTGGGTTTGGGAATAGGAATAGATGAAAGAGAAAGTGATTACCCAATTAAAACGGATCGATTCGACTTTTTTATTTATTTTTTTTTATTTTGCTTATTTTGTTATTAAAATTGATGTGTTATTTTGTTATTGAAACACATAAGGGTGAGTAGGATGAACCTAGTCACCAATGAATAGCTAAAATATTTGTGCAACTCTTTAAAGGTGAGAAGGGACACAAATGCTAAATTCAAGAAATTAATAGATCCCACCATAGGTCATGTCGATTCTCCCACCAATCATATGATCTCAATTCGGACTCAACACCCACTGACTGCATTACTAACCCCACGCACGCGGATCACCACACCTCTTATCAACAACCAGGCTAATAAAATTACTAGACGGTCATGAAGTATGAACAAAAAGAATGGCGATGCTTCCGTTAAAAACAAAAACCGAAAGAAAAAAAACTGCCCCCCCCTTACACGTGAGGAGGAACCTGCTCCTTAAGAGAGTTTTCTTTTTCTATTTTCAACCATTTAGGTAAAATTTTGATTATTAATGCCAATTTAGCTGGAAAAAATATGATGATCTTTGTTTTCCCATCTATTTTGCTTTACTATATCTGAAAAGCAAGCCAAATAAAGCTGAATTTTGCGCCTAGCATGAACGCTTTAGTGAAAATAAAGAAAAACACCACCACACAAAAAAGAACGAATGAACAAATAAATAAATAAATGGAAAACAAAGAGCAAAAAGGAAATACGATAGCAAGGACAAACGCAGTCTGCAATACATGCAAAACACTAATCCCTCTACATAACAGGCTCTTCAATTTATCATTCCTCTTGCATAATTCTACATATTACCGTACAGTGAAAAGAAGAAGATGACAGCCTTGCTAACTCATCATAACTTATTGACTGTATCAATTTTTTTTTTCTCTTTTGTAGGTAAATATTATATTTTATTACAAAGGAAATTGGATAATGCATCAAAATAATTTGAACATCCTTCCCACTGTGGTTTTGCTCCAGCAATGCTCGACAACTTTTCAACTGTTTCTGCCACTAGCTTTAGCGCAGGAAGTTCAACCTGGAAACATATGAATCAAGAGAGAACAAATATTGAATTGCACATTCAAACCAAATAACATGATGATAATGTATTCAACTCGACTGAGAATTCAAGTACCAAAATAAAGACACACTCGTGGGGGAGAGTAGGGAAGCGGGTAGACACACACTGTAATATAATTACAGTGAAAACATCCTTCATCGCAGATGCCACATTGTCATTTATAAGAAATTAGAGCATCTAATTTGTAAGCTCTGCAGCACATTTGTCTGGAAGAAACCAATAATAGAGCATAAAAGCATTCAATTTTCTTACACAATTATCATTTTATAAAAATATGAAGATAAAATTTTATGTTAGCACATTCAAGGAAATTGTTATCCCACTGTCTTGAAAAGAGATTCCTATTTATTTAGTTTCTGAAGTGAACCTTTTCAGATTTGTCACATAAGGTTATTAAACATATAAACTAGTAGTTGGATGAATCTACAGAGATATTACAAGATATTTATTATCCATACAAAAGTACTTCTTATATCTAATACCAATAAGAATATTTGAGAACAATTATGAATGACATATCGAAAATATTATTGAAGTTTAAAACAGAGGACAGTAGGACACAACTGAAAAGTGAGAACCCCATACATATCGAAAATATTATTGAAGTTTAAAACAGAGGACAGTAGGACACAACTGAGAAGTGAGAACCCCATTGTGCCTTAAAGGAACATATTCAACATTTCAGGCAGTAATTCAATATTTACATATCTACTATGCCAGAAAAAAAAAAATACAAGAACACACTCAACCAACTGCCTATGAATCAATTGAACTATTCATTACCTGATAACTGGCTTCTGCTGTGCCATAGTTGTAGATTGCACCGCATTTGAAAATGGGGCCACAAGCTCAGTAGACTTTATTGAAGGACAAAATGAGAAAAAAGGACAGAAAAACAAAAGAGGATGTCAGCAATGCTTGTTTCTAAGTTCAAATTAAATTATCATATGCAATAACAGGAAAAATGATCTTATTATCAACTTTATAATGGCAAATATGGCCATATTGATGATGGAACAAAATAAAAATACATAGAATCGATGATAATTCAACGTGGTAGGGAAATGACATTTAATCAGTATAGGATCTGTGTTCGGACATTTTTAATGTTTATATAATTTTAGAATTTTCTTTTCCAGGAATAGCAAAAGTAGCTTATGAACAATACACTCATTCATAGAACAAGCAGAGCTTATTTTTATTGAACTAGCTTTAAGAAGTAAAATTATACATTGAGGAAACAAAGCGCCTCCCACCCTCCCTAACTATAACCAGCATAACTTAATATATATAATTAATACTTATAAGTTATATACTTGTATAATAACTTAAAAAACTTAACAAGTAGTATAAGTACTACTATAACTCAGTAGTTAGTAGTTAATAGTTTTTTATCATTATATACTTGTATATTTTGTTAACATAAATATTTAATATTACTCACATCAGTAATTAGTATTTAAGTTACTGATATAAATGTATAAGCAAACTACTAAATACTATTTATACTTAATATATGAATTAGTAATACTAATATAACAAATACAACTTACATAATATGTACTTATAACTTAGTAATATTAGTATAATTGTAATACTTAATCACTTAATTCTACGTATAAGTTATGTCTTATACTTCTATAATAACAACTTAACAAGTACATATAAGTACTACAACAACTTAGTAGTCTACTACTTATTATATACTTGTAGTCGTTGTTCGTATACTATATTTAGTTACACTTAATATATTCAGTAGTAATACTTTAAACTTATATAACTTAGTAGTGATACTATTACAACTTACATAGTATATACTTATTACTAACAGTACACTAGGTTTTAATACCTGGTCAAGTATGTCAACTGGGCTTTGTATTTGTAACTTATATATAACATAATTTTTTGTCATTGGCAGCACTCACAAACCCACTTTACTCATTTGGGAACTTGAACCCTCACCATCTACTTTGAGAGGTAGAAGAGATACCACTAGGCCACAAGACTCTTTGTTATATAAGGAGTAACATATACCATAATACATTGTCCAAAAGGTTTAGATTTCGAAGCTATAAACAGGGTAAATTACACTAACCTACCCTCTAGAAAAGGAAAATTACAGTAACCGCTTGTGTAATGGAAAATTACGCTGACCGCCCCGTCGAATCTTATCATTCGATCCAGTTAGCAAAAGTTACTAATTTACCCTCATGTTTAAAATAATTTTTATTGTCTTTTATGACATTTTAAGGCAAACGCAATCTAAAAACTATTTTGCTTACATAAGCAAATTTTGACCTTGATTTCCCTTGATCGTTAATGGATGAGAAAAGGTGTTCCCAAATCATAAGAACTCAAGGGTAGCAAATGTACTTTGAATATGTAAGAAAAATCTTTGTAATTTCACTTAATTAGAGGAGATGTCAATGTAGTTTATCCTTGCAAAAAAAAAAAAAGGGGGAAACAAAAAGCCCCCTCCACTATATCCAAGAAGCCAGATTTTTTGGGCTTCATCAAAACATACATATTTGAAAAGTGTTCAGATTCATGAGAGATAGGGAGAGAAAGAGATTGAGAGAAAATGTATATACTGTATTACCTCTCTTCAGCCCTCTAAATAAGGCTTATATAAGAAAAGGGTTGGAGACCCTAATTACATAATTACACAATAACTCTAACTACTATGGGTAATTACATAATGACCCAACACTATAAAGAATATACATTATAACACTCTCCCTCAAACTGGAGAATATATATCAAATAATCCCAGCTTGGAATAGATAGTCTTTAACCGATTATGACCCAGTGTTTTGGTAAACATATTAGCTAGTTGATCTTCAGACTTCACAAATGGAGTAGAGATGCTACCACTAAATACTTTTTCCCAAGTAAAATGACAATCAACCTCAATATGTTTGGTTCTCTCATGAAATACAGGATTCGATGCTATGTGAACTGCTGCTTGGTTATCATAGAATAATGGAGTAGGAGTTTCAACTGTCAACTCAAGTTCTTTTAGAAGATTTTGTATCCATGTCAACTCACTAGTGGTATGTGCCATTGCCCTGTACTCAGCTTCAGCACTAGATCAAGCTACCACCGTTTGCTTTTTACTCTTCCATGTAACAAGATTTCCTCCTACAAATGTACAGTAGCCTGTAGTAGATCTCCTATCTGGAGGAGAACCAGCCTAGTCAGCATCTGTAAAACCTTCCATCCTGAGATGACCATTTGAATGGTATAGTAACCCAAAACCTGGAACTCGCTTGAGATATCGGATAATCCGAAGAACAGCAATCCAATGTGGCATTCTAGGAGCTCCCATAAACTGACTTACAACGCTAACTGCATATGAAATATCAGGTCGAGTGATAGTGAGGTAAATTAATTTCCCAACAAGGCAACGAAATCTGCCTGGGTCATTACATAGATCACCCTCATCAGACACAAGTTTTGTATTTGAATCCATAGGAGCATCAACCGGACGACCACCTAACATACCCGTTTCTTCTAGCAAATCCAACACATATTTTCGTTGAGATAAACTTATACCTTCCTTGGATCTAGCAATTTCAATACCCAAGAAGTTTACCCAAGTCTTTACTGTGGAACCGATTTTGCAGAAACAACTTTAACTTAGCAATGCCTGCAGAATCATCACCTGTGATCACAATATCATCTACATACACCACAAGAAAAATGAAGCCAGCTTTAGTGCGCAGGTGAAATACCGAATAATCGGTCTGGCATCTGTTAAGACCAAATTCTAATGCCGCCTCAGAGAATTTCCCAAACCAAGCCCGCGGAGATTGTTTCAATCCATACAACGCCTTTTTAAGGCGACAAACAGTGTGATGAGACTCCCCCTGAGCAACAAACCCAGGTGGTTGCTCCATATAAACTTCTTCAACCAAGTCACCATGTAAGAAGGCATTTTTGACATCCAATTGGAACAACGGCCAGGTACAATTGGCAGCAATGGAAATAAGAATCCGAATAGAAGAAATCTTAGCAACAGGAGAAAAAGTCTCATCATAGTCAACACCATAAGTTTGAGTGTACCCCTTTGCCACTAGACGAGCCTTCAACCGCTCAATAGACCCATCTTGAAGGTATTTAACTGTGTAGACCCACTTACAACCAACCGGTTTGGAGCCCGGAGGTAAGGGAACAAGATCCCATGTTCCATTACGATGAAGGGCATCCATTTCATCTACCATGGCTTGCTGCCAACCCAAATCAGAGAGAGCATCCTGTAATGTCTTTGGAACAAAAGTAGCAGATACTTTGGATAAAAAACAAGATAAAGAGGATGAAATATGACGATAGGAGACAAAGTTAGAAATGGGATGAGCAGTAACACACGACCGAATACCTTTACGAAGGGCAATAGGCAAATCATCAGGTAAAGGCGTCGGATCCGAAGACTCTGAAGGAGACGGAGGGAGCGAAGTAGGCGGTCGAGGTCGTCGAGTATAAACCTGCAAAGGAACAGCAGACCGAGGAGGTGCGGAAACAGGAAACTGAGAAGGAACCGATGGCAGAGGTGGCTCAGAAGTAATATCGAGAGGACTAGTAGAATCAGAAAAATATGGGATAGACTCAAAAAATGTTACATCAGCACTAGTGAAATAGCGTTAGAAATGAGGACTGTGACACCGATAGCCCTTCTGAGTGCATGAATACCCAAGAAAAACACATTTAGTTGCACGAGGGTCGAGTTTATCAAGACCAGGTCCAAGGTTATGGACAAAACACACAGCCAAAGACCCACGGAGTCAGAGTAAACGATACGGAGTCGGGAAATAGAACAGAGTGAGGAGATTTACCGTGTAGCACTGATGAGGGCATCCTCTTAATAAGATGACATGCCGTAAGAACAGCATCACTCCAAAAACGTTTGGGAACATGCATATAAAATAAAAGGGCACGACAGACTTCCAGAAGATGGCGATTTTTACGCTCAGCTACTCCGTTTTGTTGCGGAGTATAAGTACAAGAGGATTGATGAATGATGCCTTTGGCATGAAAATACGTCTCAAAAGGGTCCGAGAAATATTCTTTGGCATTGTCAGAACGTAAAACTTTAATGGAACACCCAAATTGAGTTTTGATTTCTTTACGAAATATTTGAAAAATAGAAAACAACTCAGAACGATTTTTCATTAAAAACAACCAAGTCATCCGAGAATGATCATCCACAAAAGTCACAAAATAACGAAATCCATTAATAGAAATATGTTTTATTGGTCCCCATACATCTGAATGAACTAATTGGAAAGGACTAGCCACACGATTATTAGCTCTTGGCCTAAAAGATACACGACAATGCTTACTAAGCTGACATGTTTCACAAGACAGAGACTTAAAGTGACTAAGACCGGGAACTTGACGCTGCAAAACTGATAACGAGGGATGGCCGAGACGACAGTGCCACTGGAAAGAAGACAAAGATGATTGAAGAGCCGTGGGAGATGGTGCAAGATCGAAGTAATACAAGCCACCTACTTCATGTCCCATACCAATCCTCTTCTTCGTCTTGAGATCCTGAAAAAGACAACATGTGGGATAAAACGTTACAGAACAGTTAAGAGATTTAGTAATTTTGTTAATGGACAACAAATTAAAAGGGAATTGAGGAACATATAACACAGAAGAAAGGGACATAGAAGGGGTAAGAGGAATAGTTCCCAAACCCAAGACTTTAGTTGATGATCCATTAGCAAGAGTAACACTTTGAGAGGAAGGAACAGACTGAAAATCAGATAGGAGATAAGAACTACCAGTCATGTGATCGGATGGGCCAGAGTCAAGAATCCAGGGACTCTGACTAGAGGACAGAAGACATGCAGGGGCACTACCTAATTGAGCCAAGGACCCCATGGAAGATGAGGTGGAAGTCCGTTGTTGAGACAGAAATTGAGCATACTCATCACGGGGAATCGTGACCATAGCAGTCTCAACAGCCACATGTGGAGCAGTGGATGTGGCAGAGAGAGAAGAATCCCCATCACTAGCAATCACTTGATGTGCATAGGAAGAAGATGGCGGTTTCCCGTAAAGATCCCAACAGTAATTGACCGTGTGATTGGTAAGACCGCAATGAGTGCAAATTTTGGAGTCTCTGCCTTTGCCTCGACCAAGGCCACGGCCGAAACGACCACCACCACCACCTCCACGAGAAGACTGAAAGCCACCCTGGTTCACAACTAAGGCAGAACGTTCACTGTTAGAAGGAGCAGTGACACCACTGGAAGTACTGCCTGAAGAGCCACTAGATAAAGTGGCACGCTGGAGTCTGGATAACATATCAGGCAGAGAGGGAAGTGTAGAGCTACCCAAAATCTGTGCACGAACAGGTTCATACTCTTGTGACAATCCTGTGAGAACCCGAACAATATTAAAATCCTCACGTTGCTGCTGCATGCTTTTCACATCAGAGGTGATGGGTTGATACATATTCATTTCTTCACACAGTCCCACTGCTTCTAAACTGTGAGTCCCTTGCTGGAGATCAAAAAATTGTCTACACACCTCATAAACTCTGGTTATATTACCAGCACCAAAATATAACTGTTGGAGTCGGGTCCATATCTCCTTGGCAGTGTCCAGATATAACAGGTTGGAGCTAATATGAGGTTCAATACAATTCAGCATTAAGGAGATGATCTGAGCATCTCTTTGTTCCCATGAACTAAAATTAGCATCACTGCTTTTGGGTTTATCTTGAACCAAATGATCGCCAAAGCCTTTGGCTTTCAGGAAAATGGCCACTGACTTGGCCCATAAAATGTAATTTTTTCCATTAAGCTTGACTGAAGTCATGGGAGGATTAAAGGATGCAGGAGATAGGAGATCGGAACTGGAAGCCATGGAGAAGATTAAAAAAAAAAAAAAAAAAACCTGGGAAAAATGCAGAATCGGAACCGGGTCGGATCTGGACCTGGGTCGGAGCTTGAACCGGGTCGGATCTGGGTCGGACCTGGGTCAAGTTGGATCTGGGTAGCTGGATCGGATCAAAACAAGTCTCTGCTATCCCGGTTTTAGTAAACCAGGATTGGAATAGTGTAGCTGCGCCACCAAACAAGGTTGTTCTCCTTCACAACCCACTAACAGACTCCGGCGAGCACACAGCGGCGACACCACACAACCTCCGCAACTTCCGACCAAGAAAAAAGAGGCGAATCGATGAAGCTTCACCTCTGCCAACAACGACGGTGGATGTCGGCGAGCTTACTGACGATCGACGCGGCAACAACACAAGCGGCCAAGGGGCTTTAGATCTGACGGCAACGAAGGAGGCTGCAGATCTGACGACGACGACGACGGGCTTCAGATCTGACGGTGACTAAGGACGATGTTCTCAACCTACCGGCGACACGAACTTCTGACAAAGACACCGACGATATACTCACGATTCCAGTCGCTCTCATACAAGGGCAACACACTTATTGTTTCCCACACCCATGAATTTATACCACTCTGATACCATGTTCAGATTCATGAGAGATAGGGAGAGAAAGAGAGAGAGATTGAGAGAAAATGTATATACTGTATTACCTCTCTTCAGCCCTCTAAATAAGGCTTATATTAGAAAAGGGTTAGAGACCGTAATTACATAATTACACAATAACCCTAACTACTATGGGTAATTACATAATGACCCAACACTATAAAGAATATACATTCCAACAAAAAGAAAGTCATCTGGTGTTTAGTCAAATTCAACAACTAAATTGATACCCATTTACATGATCAGAAATAGTGAGTAATAATAATGAGATGATAAGAACAAATCCATAATGGATATCACAAGAAACAAGAAATGGAATAATGGAACTTCACATGAAACAATAATAAAAGTAGAGAGTTTGAAAAGTAAGACCTCAAGTTCTTCTGAGCCTCCATTCAGGTCTGAACTGGACCGAGGACCAGCAGGATTGACATTTGCTAGAGAAATGGCCACTTTTGCATTGGAGGATGATTCCGTCGGACCACCTACGGTTCTCGCACCAAAATCTTTGACTTGATTTCTATATTCAACGTCATTTTCAAGCTCCTCGAGTTCTTCTGGAAAAGCTTGGTGGGTATTATATGGACCAGACATGAGCTTCTCAATTGCAAGTTTCTCTGCTTCTTTACAGGTTGGTGACTCATCATTATCATTAGCAGATAAAAGTTCAATGGTAGGTCTGCATCTTACTTCATCAATTGCTCCACCACTCTTAGGAGGAGGCTCAGATGGATTTTTGAACCCTTCCAAGCCTTCTTTTATTTCATTTGCAACTTTTTCTCCCCTTGCTTCCACTAACCAACTTGCATCTGTATTGCCATCTTTTATAGAAGGACTAGAATTTGTGCTAAGAGTGCTGCCTTCATTTGATTCCCACTGCGAGAGAGTTCCAGCAGCTAAACACTGCGCAGCTCTTAAGTTAGTCCCTGCAGTATCTTCCTCCCGCTTTCTCTTTCTTTGGTCATCTGCTCCACCTAATACAAGCTTGCCTTCAGGTGACTCTTCTGATTCATTATTTCCAGTAACCTTGGGTTCTGAAACCCGCCTACTCTCCCTAGATACTCTGACAGGACGGGAGGGTCGAACCCCACCAGGAAATACAAAATTGGGTATGCTCCTACGTTTTACATGGGTTACATAAATCTCCATCCCAGCCTTCCTTAACGTATACATGGCAACAGAGTGCTTGAATTCCTCAACAGTCAGCCTTATATCAAACTGTTCACCTTCATTTACTGGAACTCCTTGTTTCCGTTGGAGACCCATGAAATAACAGCAGTGGAAAGGTCTGGATTTGTCTGAAAAATCACCTGGGTGTGGATGGCATTGGAGCATGTTAAAAGTGTGTCTCTCAATCTGGATTTGGACATAAACAACAAATATTAAGACAAGCATATAAAATAATTAGAAAAAGAATACTAATAATAATATAGGCAGCTAAAAACAACACAATATGAAAAAGAAAACTGTGCCACCTTCAGTGTAAGCTGACGGAGACGTGATTCAACCCAGCCTTTCCATTTCCTAAGGTCATCAGCATTCGCTGCGGTAATATCTATCTGCAAATAATTCTTGTATGCTTCAAAGAAGGGGTAAGGCTCAAAAAGTGTGTTCCAGTCAGCCTTATTTGCCTCCATAGACTGCAGGGATTGGCAAACACAAAATTTAAGCAAATACTGATTGCATCATTCTTGAGAGAGAGAGAGAGAGAGAGATGCCCAAGATCCAGCTCTAAAATAATTTTAGTATTGGTAATTCATTAAACTCAATCAGTATCAAATTCCTTACACGAATGATATATTTTATCAAGTCACATCCGATTCAGAATCTAATCCAAGCCGAATTAGCGACCCAAATGGGCAAGGTATTGATTACACAGAAGCTTGTCAAAAAGAACACTGAGCCTAGTCCAGACTGTACAACAGCCAATAGAGTGGAAACAGAAACAAATTTGCTGGGATAATATTCAACAATTCAACCCTAATGTCTGCTGTGCAGAACTAAAGACACACTAGTGCCCAATACCTCGCAAACAATCAAAAATAACAATAAGATAAGACCGGAATGTTACAAAAAAGAAAATGTATGCACAACCACACTATTGAGTTCAATATAACAGAATACACATGCCAAAGGGGGAACTTTCCAGCAATGGTTAACAAAGTACCACAAAAGTAGGAAGAGCGACTGCATTAGAAATAAAAACAACATAAACTAATCAATAGAACAAATCTATGGGGAATTATTATCACCTGGTCAACATATTAACTTTAATGGAGAAGAATTTTATATTAAAAAGAAGGAAAGATAATTTATTTTTATCACAAAATCATACCTCACAAATTTCATTGCCCCTCTGAAACTCTTCTGTCAATATCCGCAAAGTACTCGATGACACATTATAGCTAGAGTTCATGCATGGATAAGCAGGAGTAATTATAGGCATCAAGTGGAACCTGTCCTTGGGATATCTTCTCGGATCCCAAACTTGGAGTCCAAGCGAACCCTCCTCAATAGCAGAGAGCATTACTGGATTGGGCCAACGCCACTGTGTATAGACCCTGAAGAACCGAGATACTAACATATTGGGCAGGGCATTGGGATATAGCTGGCAGATGCGAGCAACAAGCAATGCCCAATTTATACCACCTAGAAATCCAGTAACCTGCCATGACAGAGAGGAACACGATCTAAGATATGAGAAATTATAGTACAAACTGTAATATGATCCTGCCTTTAGAGAGAAAAAAATCATTCTCGTACATTTGAATAAACACCACGGCGCTTTGCCCAAAACCTCATACATCTCAAGGTAGTTCGGAAATTCTGTGCAACAGAACAGAAACACAATGATGGATAAGCAATGCTATTGAAAGAATGAAAAGCATATTTCTAAACTCAGAGCTCCAAAAACCAAAAAAATATATAATAATAATCACAATAAGATATCTAAACAGATATATAAGAACCACAGATGGTAAAACCTGAATATTCGGCACCAAACGCAGAATTCGGTCAGTTACTCTGCACCCATTAAGACTACGAACTGTTTGCTCATCTGCGTTTTGTAGTATTGAGTCTTGTGAAACATCTAAATCCTACACCAGGTAACATTTGAAACTGAATCATTAAATGTACTTTAAAAGCCAAAAATATTTTAGCTCAACCACCCATTGCAGCATCAGGTCAAATTGTACGGAAGTAAAGATCTTATCATTCACATTTCAGGTTTATAAAGGAAGTTGAAGCATGGCTCAGGAATTGGTCAAGCCATGAAGGTAAGAGAAAACCTTCAAGCTAAGAATGGATCTTGTCAAAAACACAAATTAAGTATCAAGGCATAGTCGCGTACTCTACACAACACCATTTTCACCACTTGACCAATTGGCTCATTAGGAATACTCCTGATTTGAAATATTTTTTTTAAAAACAAATACCCTATTACTTTTAGCTAGTATGCCAATTGGTTTATAAAGGAAGTTGAAGCATGGCCCAGGAATTGGTCAAGCCATGAAGGTAAGAGAAAACCTTCAAGCTAAGAATGGATCTTGTCAAAAACACAAATTAAGTATCAAGGCATAATGGCGTACTCTATACAACACCATTTTCACCACTTGACCAATTGGCTCATTAGGAATACTCCTGATTTGAAATATTTTTTTAAAAAAAATACCCTTTTACTTTTAGCTAGTATGTAAATACTTTTTGCATAACTGTTGATCTTTTAAAAAACATTTTTTTTGTTAAAACATGTTATGCTTCTTTGGTATACCCATGCGCCATCTTCTAATGATATATTCTTCTTGCAAACTGACTCAATATATGATCATGAATAACTTAATTGATGATCAAGAGTATGGCTTTCTGAAAGGTGAAAGTGAGGGAAACAGATAAATCACCCCCACTACTAATGCATTAATTACAAAAGAAGAAAAATAAAAATGCTGCGTGTATTAAATGGGGTCAAGAAAATTTCACACCATGTAAGAGGTTTCAAGGATAAAACAGCACGTACTTCTGGGATAACCCAAAGTGACAGTTTTGCATAAAGAAGATCAATAGAAACCCCATTAAACTTGAATCTCATTACTGGAACATGAGCATCAGGTACAGGGTGCAACTCTGATACTTCAGGCATCTCTGACAGCATTCTATGTAGCTCTCCAAAGAAATCTTCCTGCATCCAATTTATCAAAGCAGTAGATGTCCATCAAGCAAAACCACTTTCAGAAAATTAAAAATAAAAAATTACACCACAGGGCTAGAGCTGATCGCACTTCTCGAGTTGCATGCCTCGGTCCCACACACAGCGTGTCTATATCTGCACCGGGGCCATGTACCTAGACATAAAATAAAGAAAATATATAAGTGAAGCACAAAAGTATAATTTTACTTAATCAGAAAAGGAAAATATATATATATATCTGAAACAAATTACAACAAAAAATTGAAGCATTCGAATAAAGTGCAAGCACAAGGTAACAAAATGCTTTGGACCAAATGATGCAGTCAGCATTTTTAACACTTCTATCTCCCTCTCCCCCACAAATTATTCACAAAACAGTGGGACACCTTAAAAGCATTGTATAGAAGTTCAAATATGGAAAAAATTATAACAGCAGATTTGGAGCATTGAAATGCAAAAGATTCAAGAAGAAGATAACAAAAAGATTTTTTGACCACTTTACCAAAAACTAAAATAAAAATTGATTTTTGACCAAATGATGATGAGTACAGGCGTTAGAAATCCTTCAAGATTGATGTGTAAATTTAGACTCAATTTGGTAATTGGTACAAATATCAGTTCAATTCAGGATAGCAAGAATACGTTTTGGACACTTTCAGGATACGGGTACGACAGGTGGTTTTGTAATTTTATTTTTTACTTTTTTTAAAAGAATGGGTTCAATACAATTTAAAAAATTATGGGTTAATTAGAAAAATAAAATAAAATTTAAGAAAACAAAAATAACAAATTGTCGTATCGCCGTGTCCGTATCCGTGCTTCCCAAAGGGCAATTTCCACAAGATATCAGATTGCTGTATAATTTTTTTTAAAAAAAACTAAGCCTGCATTCTAACCTTCTTGCGGGATCTATTCCATCCAGCATCACTAACTCACTTAGGTAAGCAGGACATGGCTAATTATATCTATAGCATGTATGTTTTGTTCTAAGCTTTTATCCATGTTTCAAACGTCAGGTAGGTAAGTTAGAGTTACCTTTGTCCAAGGGCAAATTGAAAATTCAAAGCTTCAAGAAGTGCAAGAGGTAAATTCAACTCTCAATATTGTGCATTCACCAAATTAAGTCCACGTTCATTTATTCATCCAATTGAACATTTTAGGGCTTTTAATTACATGTTTTGATCCATAAAAACGTGTTTAAAATGCATAAAATTGATTTCAGAAATGTTTCTATTTTTAAAATCCTAAAAGAAAAAGGACTAGAAATTTCGATCAACTGATGGAACAAAGGAAACCCATTGCACTAGGTTCGATCGGTCGAAAGTTGCGAAACAACGGTTTCTAAATCTGGTTCAAACTCTTTTAAGGCTAATATTTTCAGCAACCAATGCTTATATAAAGAACGTCTGCTTTCAGAAAATCTATGCAAGCACAGGCCAAGCACAATATGAGTATAGTTGATCATTATATATATATTTTTTTTGCGAGGCATAAAGTACATGCTATCAATCCAATAAATAGAATTTTGTTCCATTCCTCATTCATATAAATGGTGAGCATTAATGTGTGTCAACAGACATTGATCCTAGAGCTTCAAGGACTTTAACACCACAAACAAACATTTTTTTTTTTGTAAGTATAAACACCACAAAAAAATTTACTACAAACAAACAATCAAATGAAACGTCACTGGAGATCAAGCACAGATTGAAGAACAGATCACGTGAAGACAGATTTAGCAGCAGCAGAGATGATGTGAATCGTCTGGCATGATTCTAGCTCCAAGGTTACTAGGGGATTCTTGAGTCAGAGTATAATTAATATAATATACTAGAAACTAATGGAAATATTTAAAATCTTATGTGGAGACATGGATTTGGATCCAAAAAAAGAAGGGCCACCTAGAATGCGTGAAACACATTGTTTAGAGATGATCATTAGGCATCACAATACCAAAACTAATTATTGGATTGCAGTTTTTTTCTTTTTCTTTTGGGTACAGGTGGGTAACTGTTGAACCACAAACATAACCAAAAGAGAAATAGTTGTACACAAAAGACAACACAAAAAGGAAATATCAAACCTCATACCCTAAACCGATTAGAATCAAAGGCGAAAGCGCACACACACACAAAGGAAAAATCAAAGAAATTCTCATACCCCTAGCCGATAAGAACCAAAGGTGAAAATCTTAGCATTCGCTTCTTGTACCAGCTGTTCATTTAATCCCTTGGCACGGCTTATGGTTTTTACCCATATCTTCACAGTCTGTTCAATTTTGAAACACCCAAAACAGTATTAAACATAGCAACCCAAAAATACATCATATTAGAAAAACCAAAACTGAGAGAACAAATCCACCTGGTCTAATCTCCCAAGCACTTCCTCCCTACTAACTGCTTCCTCCTGACTCTCATACAATCCCACATCCGCTAGAAACTGAAAAACCAAATTTTTAGTTTAATGTACTCTCAATTATCACTAGTAATAGAAAAGTCGCTAAGAAGAAAAGTAAAACCTTTTCAAGTTCATGGGTCTTCATCACATCTTGCTCGGTAGGTCCGCCCCATGAAATTGGTTCTGTAATGCCTAGTTGCTGCCCGTTATTCCGATTGTTAAACCCGTGGCTACCCATTTATACGTTTATTTTACAATTTTTTTTCTCAATAGTATTGAGTCTGTTATGCACAAAATTACTGAAAAAAATGGAAACTTTCTTTTCCCTAGCTCTCGAGCAGAAAACCAGGAATATGTTGAAGTAATAAAACAATGAAAAAAGAACATAACAATGAAATTAGAGTTCGTACAGTACTGGGCATAAAGGTCCACTGAAATTGAGCCCAAAGCTAAACAAAAATTGAAGGATAACTGAAAAAGTAAAAGAAAGACAACCCTCGAATTGATAATTGATACTATGAACATAGAACTGATACATCAGCACTTGAGCTTTCCATAATTTTTTTTCTTTGTTTTTCAATCCATGGAGAAAACCCTAACCCTAGACATTGAACAAAAAGACGAACTAACAATAGAACAAGATCGCCAAGAACTGGAAATTCAAAACCCTCCGGCTTCTGGAGTTGTTGGAAGCAGTTGTTCTGCCGTAGATATCGCTTGTTGTATTACTTAGCAATCGGGCCTCGAATCATGAATTTGGCGATGCCCTGCAAAAGATTTGCACAATAAACGCATTAGAATAGAGAGATATGGAGGGAGAGAGAGAGGAGAGAGATGGTGTTTCGGGTGAAGGATATACGTACGTAGAGAAGACGATGGAAGATTCATCTTCTCGTTCGATCGTTTTGTGGGCACTTCTTCTATTCTACATCAACCCTTAAAAGCGACGAGTAAAAGTAGTAATAAATCGACAGAGTAATAAAAACCGACTAAACAATGAAATAAATACATTCACGTGTATTTATGTAAAAAAATAAAAATAATAATAATAATAATTATTATTATTATTATCCCCGGTAATTCATGTAATATTGTCACATTAATATTTGATATTTTAGGGTAAATTACCTTAGCTCTACTCTGAATTTTTTATTTTTAACCTCAGATCCAAATTTTAGCAAAAAAAAAAAACAATTTTTGAATGGAAGTGAGAGAATTCACTTTTTATTTGATAGAATTAAATGAATAGTTTTTTTTTTCCTAAAATTAAATGAATAGTTTATAAAAGATAAATATTCATTCCAAACACTTTTATAAAAAATAAAGGAAGTAAGTAAAAAATTTGGAGCTCATCTTGACATATTTACAATTTCATGACAGTGAAAGTCGTGAAATGGATCTTCTAAGCTCGTTTTTATTAATAATGAGTTTAACTTTTTCATGGTTCTTACAATTTTATTTAGGATTTTAGAAATTTTTTATTTTTATTTTTTAATGTTTGGTTATTGTAAAATATTAAAACATAACAAAAATAATTTATTTATTAATTTTCGTTTTCGATAAGTTATTTTACACACCCTACTCGATAAACTTGACTTTAATACCAACTTAGATCCTTGCTAAATACCGAAAAATAAAAATAAAAAAAATTTGAGAAAAATATTTTACTAAACAAACGGAGTCATGAAGCTCTATGCTAGTGTGTAATTCAATTTTAAAACAACAAATAATATGCTTCTATGAACGTACTCTAAGGTGTAGTTGGATAATTATTTTTCAACAAATCTTATTATTAATAAATTTGAGTTGTCTATGTTTGAAAGAATTTCAGTAAGGTTTAACAAGCGATTTTATAAATAACTAATGATTAAAATTGTTAGTAAATAACTAATGATTAAAATTGTTAGTACAAGCGATTTTTTTTCGCACGGAGGAGTGAAAGTTTTTTATTTTTATTTTTTAACCGTGCGTATAAAATTGTCTGTGTTAAGGAGTAAATTTTTTTGAACCAAGTGATGTTTGTTGATCTTGTTTATTAGCTGTTGAAGGCAAGTAAAGATCTTTCACATTGCCCCTTTTCTTTACAAGGATTAGTTGTCTGGATTTTCAGTTGAAGTTGAATTAGTTTATTGTGTTCCGGTTGCTTTTTCAAGTTAACACACAAGGTTTTTACAGGGTTTGTTTATAATTAGTAATAGCAAGACATAAGCATTTTTTTGTTTTTTAATGCAATACATGTTTATGTCATAATTTATGGGTTCGTTAGGAAGACTGGTTGATTACTAATGACTCATATGTATTACATATAAAGTGTTACGTAGGGTTCGTTAGGCATATTTTTTTCTTTTGTTTATTTGTAATACATTAGTAAAAAGAGAATAGAAGCCATTACTTTTATTTAACTTATGCATTAGCGCTTGGCAACTGTAATTTAGAAGAGTTTTTAATAAAAAAAAAGACATTTTTTTATCAACTTGGCAAAACATTTACTAAAGCTCTTCTCAATACAAGTGTCACTTAAGGGGAGTGATAATTTTTAAGAAGATATGTGTGATCATATATTGTCTGTCTGAAAAATTACTAAATTGTCTTTTTAAGTTTTGAATATTGAAATTTGAACTTTAAATTCAAAGGATATTTTTGAAATGATGTGAAATATATTGTTTGAAAAAAGAAAATGGACACTTATTTTGAAACTTATTTTGAGACGAGGAAGTAACTATTTTGCCCATTACACAAACAGTTCTTGCTGATTGTTTTTGACTGGTGCATTATTTCTTAGGGTGAATAGCTTCAACCACAGCCTCAATCTCTTTCGTCACTCGTTCAAACTTCATCAAAATCCCATATGTTAACTTGTGATGAGGAGGTGATTTCTCGGTGTGGATTAACGCATCAATCTCTTCCTTAGCTCTTTCAAACAAATTTGGTGTTTTTACATCTTTCTCTTCTGTATTCAAAAACAAAATGGAAGCATGTCAAAAGACTTGGAACTTCTTTTTGAAATAAAAATGGAAGCATAACTGAAGTACAAAATTATCTCAGAGAAAAAGGAAAACCATTGGAATATGAATCCATTTCTAAGTAATAATATGTGACAAAAATACTTGGTTTAATTTTGGTTAGAATTGAAACTTAAATTGTAATTCCGCAACAAACCGACAGCAAAGGGCAAACTGTAGAAATTTCATAGAACCCATGGAGAAAGAAAGTATAGCAATATAAAGAAAGATTATCCAAAACTTGACTGTGATTTGTGAATATCACAGTATGCAAATATGATTTTTGGGCAAAGCCCATAATTGACATCAACTTTAAAAGAATCCGAATAGCAATAATTGACATAAAATGGGAATTACCCCGAACGTGTTCTTGAAACATAACAAACAAACATGGATATTTTCATTTTACCGAATCCATAAAAAAGGATTGTCTACAGAATCAGATGACAAACTAAGAGAATCAATTGATGTGGTATATATATTAGAGGAATTGAGGGAATTGAATATATACAAAATTGTCCTGTAATGGAGTTTGTTGGCTTGAATTTCAATTGATCTCGCTTCAAATTGGAATGTTCTTTAGTGGATTAGGACTCGTATTTGATCTGTAAAACCCTTGAGAAAAGCGTTTTTGAGAAGCTGATACCCCCGAACTTCTCCAAAATGCTCTTTTAGGATAAAAAACACTTCAAAAAAATATAACCAAACAGTACTTAAAACAACTTTCAAGTTCAAAAAGTCAAAAGCTGCGTTTCAAAAGCCAATATAAACAGGGCTGTAGTTTCATACGAGGAAGCCATTTGGACAAAATAGCTGCTTTGGTAGGAATCCATTAAAATATGTAACTTCGGAGGGTGACATGTGACTATCAGAGAAATAGAAAGTTTCCAATAGTTGAAAAATTTTACTTTTTTGAGAGTGAGTAGATACGGAAAGATGAAGCCTCGCATTCTAAAATCTACCGAAAGTACTAACTCACGGGCTATCGAAACATCTGCGATTCTTTCCCCATTCATTTATCTTTTTTTCATTCTTTCACTCCCATTTTGAATTCTTTTTCCACTTAGGCAAAAAAAAAAAAAAAAAAAAAAAAAAAAAAAAAAAAAAAAACCTGCGGTCAAACACTCTGCAATTTACAATATTATTTGGCATTATTCCATCTTCAGTCCCTTCTCAGCGAATCTTGGCACTCCAAATCTTCCAAAATCCACCTTCCGCCCAAAGATTTGTTTACCAACTTCCAAAGGACAACCACTCTAAAACTGTTATATATATATATATATATAAAATTGTTTTCATTTTGAATCTCACATGAAGCTCTGTTTGTTCTGTTGTTACTTCTGAGTTCTGCCTAAAACTCTAATGAGAGCAATTTTATCTGTCGATTTGTAATTAAAAGTGCTGTGAAATTTGTTTGTGATGATTTCATCCAAATTGGTGAAGCGTGACAACTGCCATACAGAGTCACTGTAGTTAAGAATGCATATCTTAATGTTCTGCAAAATTGGGGACATAAAGTGGTTATTGGGTTGAGACTTAGAGTGAAAATGTTAGACAGTTAGTATTTATCTACAAGTTTGTTTGATAAACATCACATGCTTTTAGATGCAATACTTGCATCATTACAGGATTTCGAGGTGTTCCTGAGTTCATCTCTTATATATATATATATATATATATATATATATGACATTTCATAATGTGAGATTGATGAAAAAAAAAGTACGTTCTTATTGTTGATTATAATGAGCAAACCTCTTTTTTCACATATTAGCTTTGGACAATTTATAAAATTATAAAGGACAGGTTCAATGGTAGAAGTTTAGATTGTCAACAGTGTGAGAATCTGATTTCAGAAAAATTAAATAAACTTGAGTTCTATTCGTATCAAAACCAAATAAATAAATAAATTGTACAAGACAAAATGGAGTTTCTTTCGAAACAATGGAAATTTATTACATTATGGCACCGGAAGTTTAAGTTGATTGAGACTGTTAACTTAATTGTTTATAGCCTCTAAAAAAAAAAAGACTATTAAGGTTGTATTTGTTTGGATGCAAAATATTTTTTTTGAATTTTTATTTTTTTATTTATTGGTGTTTGGTTGTTGTAAACTATTTATGAAGAAAAAAAAAAAAATTAAACCTAACAAAAATAACTTATCTATCAATTTTTAACAAATTATTTTACACGTCATATTGATAGACTCGACCTTAATCTTGATCTAGACATGTGCAAAACACTGGAATAATAATAACAGTTTACCTGAAAAAAAATATTTTATAATTCTAAACTTCACTCGACCAAATTCAGATTTAAATACATTACTTGCATTAGGTCCGTGTGACAGATGCATTCTTGGTAGGTGTCACATTTGCACATCAGTCTGCCCTTTTGAGAATCTTTTCATACAAATGATTTGAAGTGAACTTCTCAAGCCATGAAAAATATTGTTTTATCAAAGGAAATTATGATTTTGGAGACAACCCCATGTGTGTAGATAATTGCATTTTTCAATAACATGAGTCCCATTTTCATATTTGTTTATGGCACAATATAAAAAGGGTTGTTTACATGCATATATATATATATATATATATATATATATATTAAGAAGGAATATTCTGACTTTTTTTTTCCCCCCAAAGTGCAGCTTTGTTAGAGATCTCATGCCCAAGTTGATAGAAGGTGCAGTGGTTCATGAATGTGGTCAGCAGTGCCTTTTCATGCACTTGTTGTAAGATTCGATCAATGATTTGTTTTTATGATCCTTCCCCAATATGTATCATATTTGTGAAGTACAAGTTCTTAATTATCAAGTTGGATGTTTGTCTTTAGATTGTACATTCATTTGCAAAATTAGATACGCTTGGTCCTAACCTAATTTCTTTTTATGATAATCTAAGGCAGAGTAATAGTTATGGTACCTATCACCCCAATTATATCAATCATAAACATGATTGTTGTGTTTGTGTGTGTGTGTGTGTGTGTGAGAGAGAGAGAGAGAGAGAGAGAGAGAATCTAATAGTCTTAACTCTTAAGTGATCAAATTAAAGCATCATATAGGCATCAGCTTACACTTCAAAAACAAGACTCGAGAGGGAATTTCTTGAAGAATGTGAAGATGTGAATTAGAAATACCACCATTTAAATTACCGGGAAAAAAAAAAAATACCACCATTTATTACTTGGTGCAATGGAATTGGGAGGTTAAAACTAATTTTTCTTTTCCTCTTAACTAATGTTTTTTTTTTTTTTTTTTCTTTTTTTTTTTTTTTTTTCTTTTCTTATAACTAATGTTATATTTTCTTTTCTTTTTCACTCTACCAAACATAGGTAAGTGTGATGGAGAACAAGAAGTTCATGCACCACACAGCCTTCTAACTTACTTTAGGAGCAGGGGAAAAAGAGATACTAAAATTGAGAGAAATTTCTTTTAATTTGGATTTTAATGTTACTAATTTAGGGTTCCTTTCCCTGTTTTATATATTTATTTGGTATTTTTCTTTTATTTCTTATATAGGTCTTGTTTTCACTATATAAAAGGGGCTCTTACAATGAATATTGAGAATTATTTTGACCTTAATTAAAAATAATAATAAATCCCTCCTCCCCCCCTTCTCTTGCTTTTCTCATTTCCATTGTGGTATAATGTCATCGTCTGTTTCTCATACCCTTCATTAAGCATTTCTAATTCTAAATCAGTTATTAGAGCTTTTTGTGCATTCTACATCAAGTGGTATAAGTGCTAGATATGTTCTGCATTGCACTGTCTTAAAAAAATAAGAAGAAGTTGTCTGAGCTAATTGATATGATTACCTTTTAATTCCATTTTGTTCTTTCACATGAAATAAAAAGAAAAAGAGCAAATCAGTATCAACCCCATTTTGTATTAGTAAACAGAGCAACATCAATATTGTATCTTGGATTATGTCTCATCCCATCAATTATTAAAATTGTCACATTGTATCTTGTCCACATGTGCTTCCTCTCCGTTTATGCTTTCCTGTTAAATTTTCAGTATAAAAAATATCAAAACCATAGGAAGGACCACATGCCATTGATTCCTTCCATTTCACAATTATTATCTCACATCACATTAACTTCCATCCCATTCATTCACAATAACTATCTCAAGCACTATATATATATATATATATATATATATATATATATATATATATAAACGGGCTAACTCAGTGCACGAAATTCCTGTCATTACGAGGTTCGGAGAGGGTCAGATGTACATAGCATTATCTCACCTCCAAGTTATAGTTGAATAACCTTACCATTGTGCCAATGCCCACCCTCATATGTATATATATATACACACACACATATACTTCATTATCAATTTTCTAGGTGAGGCTGCTTAAATTCTTGAAAAAAATGGTTTTGAAATGTCAAAGAAACAATGATAACCAAATTATTGCTTGAATTATATGCTTAACCACCACATGCCCTATCAGTAATCAGAAGCATCCAATAAAGGTTTTGTTCTATCAGAAAACTTCCTAGTGAACTTCAAGAATTAAGGATCTAATAGTCAATTCCTAATTGAGAGGTGGGGTCATGACTCATGATCAATCAAAAGGAAAAGGTTGGCCCCTCTCTACCTACCTGGCCAAGATGCTCTACCTCAGTACCTCTGCCCTGTCTCCCCCAACAAAATTCAATTCTCAAGTCAACCAGCAAACGGGATTGAGAAAAAAACTATCACTAAAATAGGAAGATTATATGCCAAGCTCAAAGCTAAATATCAGACAATGTATGTGAATATAATAGTCTTTGTATATCTACAGATATTGACAAATATTATATTATGGTATTAAACATATATACCTCATGATATAACTATATGATTACTTTGCATATGCTTGTGAGGCAGTCTGCTACCTTCATGCATCAAATAATACACAATATTCAAATGTTGTCCCTTCATATATATATATACACACATCAGTACCATCCTTTGATTGTAGGCCTCAGTTGAAAGAAAAGATGGCAAAAGATAGCATTGTTTCTGAGAAAATGAAGCTTCTTCTAGCATTGCTTACTTTGCAGTTATGTTTTGCAGGATTTCACATTGTCTCTAGGGTTGCTTTGAACATTGGTGTTAGCAAACTTGTTTATCCAGTTTATAGGAACATCATTGCACTGCTTTTGTTGGGACCCTTTGCTTATTTCTTAGAAAAGTGAGTTTATACTAATTTATTCCTCTCTTTTTTTACTCCAACAAGACAATGTGATGGTTTATCTGATTTTAATGTTATGTTCTTTATTTTCAGGAATGACAGACCACCTCTTACGTTTTCTTTACTGGTTCAATTTTTCCTCCTAGCATTATTGGGGTAAGCACAATTTGAGCTTCCTTATTTAACTATGAACCCTTGTTGTCTCTACTTTTTCACTTCAATTTGTTGCTTTTATTAACTTCATTTCTGTTCCCAGTATCACTGCAAACCAAGGATTCTATATCTTGGGGTTGTACTATGCATCCCCGACTTTCGCGTCTGCTATGCAAAACTCAGTCCCTGCAATTACTTTTGTCATGGCTTCTGCTCTAAGGTATTGAGGCACTCCGTGTGTGTATCACTGTGTGTGTATACACAATCTTTATACGATCTTTTTCATTCTCAATCTCAGACTGGAGCAAGTTAATACCGCAAGGAAAGATGGATGGGCAAAAGTTCTGGGAACAATAGCTAGTGTAGGAGGTGCCACTGTCATTACTGTATATAAAGGACCTCCTCTTCTACACAATGGACAGCAACCACTGGGAGATTCCTTAAAAGAGGACATGTTTTTCTCTTCAATGAAAATCCAGAGCTGGACATGGGGCTGTATATATTTGCTTGGACACTGCTTGTCATGGGCTGGTTGGATGGTTTTTCAGGTCAGCGTATAAGCAACACATCTTCATGCTTGTCAGTCCGAACTTTTACCATTTATCAAATGATGGCCCTTAAAACGTAGTTAATAGTTATAAACTGAAATATTGCAGGCACCTGTGTTGAAGAAGTACCCTGCTAAACTCTCACTCACCGCATTTACATGCTTCTTCGGATTGATCCAGTTCCTAGTCATAGCAGCCTTCGTAGAAACCGATTCAGCGCATTGGAGAATCCAGTCCGGAGAAGAGATTTTTACAATCTTATATGCAGTAATAACTTCAAAGACAATTTACCCATTGTTTCATTGATGATTCTTTTTTATAAACATCTAAGTTACAATTCTGTGCTTGCCACAGGGAATTGTGTCCTCTGGGATTGTCATATCCCTTCAAACTTGGTGTATTCACAAGGTCGGTCCAGTTTTTGTTGCTATATTCCAACCTGTGCAGACAATTCTAGTCGCTGTCATGGCATGGGTAGTTTTTGGTGATCAGTTATACTCAGGAGGGTAAGTGGAACACATATATACAGTATACTCTTGAAACATATACTTGCACAATTCACCTTACTAAACTATATACATAATTCCACTTTAATTTTCTTGCAGGATTATTGGAGCAGTTCTTATTATGATCGGTCTCTACTCGGTTTTATGGGGTAAAACTGAAGAGACAAGAGCAGCAAACAAAGATAAGGAAGAGACATTGACAACGCATCTTCTAGATGCTGAAACCAAAGATGCAGACATTCCATGACATACCCTTGTGTTTACAGATCAAGACAGTTAGTGATGAGCCCAGAGACAATGAATCATCTTTGAAGTAGATATGTTCAAGATGTCAACATGTAAATCTATGGGATTTTTCTTTATCCATTTTAAATATCAAGCTAAGCTGCCTCTAGCCTACAAGTACATTGAAGAGAAGCCCATTTTAATGAAAGTTTTAGATGGTTAGATCTGGTGTTGTCAGTTGGCAGGCTGGCAGTCAAACAAACTGGGAATCATTGAAAGTGAGGCTTCATGAATTGTACACTACTACTGATTTAGTTATTTACTTCAATAATATATCAAATAGAAGCTATGGTGTTTGCTTACTCACCCTATTAGCCCAAGACAACTGTTCAAATCAACAAAATTTTGATCCTAACCACTTCGAATCAAAACCAATGCCAGTGGATGACCACACCATTACATGATCAGGTAGACCCAAGGAAAATCAAACCTGTGACAGATTCTGACCCACTGCAGCCTCTGCGAACACTCATCTGGTGCAGGTCATAGTCTATAAGTATTTATGCAACTTTTCATCCAAAAAGAATATTAAAAGGCGGAAAAAAAGGGAGCAAAGCAATGGGACTTGAGAATTGATATCTGGCTATTACTTTTAAAAAGGGAATCATTCTAAATTTAAGAAGCAAATAGTGCTCCCCACCTCAAACAAAAAGCAGAAACACTACAAGGATTCCTTGTAGCATTTAAACAAATGAAATAAGTAGTAGATGCAGCTAAAGGCCAGAAAACTAAACAGCTAAAAAGCTACAAGCACTTCAACAAAGTTTCCTCCAAAATGCCTCTCCAGGTGTTTTTCTCTATTTTGGTGGCCCTGCCCAAGGTTCCGTTACCAAAAGCAATATATAAAAACTGAGAATCGGAATTTGAAATGCTAAAACCAGTAAGCAATAAACACCACCTTTCATTCATATTATACAAACTCTGGTCCCTCCGAAAAAGTTTCCTAACTAATGCTACCCATGGTGATAGTTAAAAAGTAAAAAAGTAAAAGAATTCTAAATTTGTAGATGAAAAGGCAAGTAGTGAGCACATGTGAGGCTCCAAAACAATATTCGTTGAGCATACAAAAGATTACTCCATTGCACAACTTAAAGAGCAACCTCTAATCTAAAGCAACAATTGGATGCACCGACCAAAAATGTTTTTAAATATATATGCAAACAAGGAATTTGAAATCTACTTTGAGGCAATGACAGGATCGTAACGTTCTTTTAATTTTATCCATCAAATGTCCTTTCTCTTTTCTCTTCCTCTCAATAATGGAAGTAAATTGGTGGACACGGGGGAGATGCCTCATCCATCCTCTCATTCTTAGTCTCTTCTCTCCCTCTACCAAACAATAGAAGTTTACTACTTCCTTCTCCCCTTACCTTACTTTCAACCAAACAAAGATTTAGGATGGATCTCTCCTCTCGTATCTGGACCTCCTGCTCAGTGCATCTTCAAGGCAATCTTGGTCTGTAATTCAGAGATGAAGAGAGAGTATTGCAGAGCGGAAAAGTTGTGCTCATTACACAGAGGTAAACTCTCAATGATGAGTACTATCTCAAGCCTACCCACATACTTTATGTCCATTTCTTTTTCCCCATTCCAACCTCAGCATGGGGAAGAAGTTCAAGTGTCATCTAGTGAAATAAAAGACTGCAATCCTCTACTCTGGAGATGTATTGTGGACTTGGATAGATTGTGAAGGAAGGTGGTGGAAGGAAAATTTTAGGGATGGGAATATGGACTTATGCTGTAGGGCAATAAAGGGCTCATATAGGATTGGCCTTTGGAAATGGGTGGAGTGGGTGCTCCAAGCATATTAGGTTTTGGGTTGAGTGAGATTTTGACATTATATTTGGCGTGGAGATGCTCCCTTGAATAGCGTTCTCCTAGATGTTCCGTTGGAGATGCTCCCTTGAATAGCTTACTCCTAGATGTTCCGTATTGCCTCTAATAGAGAAGCATCTGTGACGGACCATATTAGGTCCTTGAAGGGTGGGTTGGTGCACGAAGCTTAGTTATTTAGATCTTTGCAAGGCTGGAAGTGGGATTCCATGAATGCGCTACTTGAACTTCTGTATAGCACCTCAGTATGTAGGGAAAGAGGAATACATTGATGTGAAATTCCGATAGAAGCAGCTGATTTAGAGTAAGATCTTTCTATAGGGCTTTACAAGACGGTAATAGACTTGGTTCCCATGGAAATGAATTATGAAGATTGAAGTTCCTTCAAAGTTTTTTCTTCATATGGACTGCAGCTTTAGAGATGACCTTACTTTGGATTACTGGTGGAATAAAAGCAAACCGACCAATAGTTGCTGCTCTTTAATTTATGCCTGAATCTGCAAGGGATCTCATTGGACACTGGAGTATAGAGTGTGTTGGTCTCCACCAAGCCTGGCAAGCTGCACAGCTTCATCTCATCTGGAGTACGAAGAGTCAAGAAATTCACTAAAGATATGAGAAAACATTTCCAAGGATCCCAGAGAGCGCTTGAAGGGTCTGAGAAACTCAGTTCCAAAGTAATCTATATGGGATAAGCAACTAACCATAGAAAAGAATCCAAAAACAGGGAGAAAGAAAGAATCCAAAAACAGAGAGCTCTGCAAAAATTTTAGAATAAATAAAAATAAAGATATTGGCATTTCAAGGAAATTGTGGCATGAACATGAACCGCGCCAATAACTAATTACTATATTAACTGAATTGGACCAAAATTTTCCTTCTGATAGGAATACCTATTTTATTGTCTTATAGAAGCCTCCTTATAACAGATTGATGTGTTTCTGGACAGATAAGCAACCAGAAAAAGTTGAAGGCAGCAGGGAAAGGAGAAAAGGGTAGGAGGCTGTGGGTTCAAATTGGTGGTAAAGATATGGCCTCCCATTGAACAACCGGCATGGTGTCCTGACTAACAGAAACGTGAGAAAAGACTAATTACCAAAAGATGTTCTAAGGTATTGTTGAAATTATAATATTTTCTGAATACCAGTTACCAAAAGAACTGTGTGCTGCAGAGAGGAATCCACCTTAAAGAATACAAACATAAAAAAAGCCAACAGCCAAATTGGCTTAGTATGATTAGTAAATACTAAACTCAAAGCCACTATCATGTTTATGTGGCACTCATCCAAATAGCAGCGCAAGGCCCCCAAAAGAATATTTCCAAATACACATACATTTAACTTTATTCAGAAGTAGACACTCCAGCATGCATACATAATTTACCTTTTCAAGAGAAATAAACATAAAAATACAAAGAAAGATGCATCTTCAGCACTTTTTTACCATTAAAAATTAAAAATAAAAGATGCACATGTAGGCATTTAATAAAAGCCCTTTCACCCTCAACTAAATGGATGCATGGATGTGTATTAATATGATGGTGAATGCTCCAACAATGACTACCAGCAAGAAGTTCCTATAACGCATAAGCTAAGCACGAAGTTCCTATGATGCAAAAACTAAGTTAAATTGAGGCTTCCCAAAGTACTAGTAACACACATATGTTATCTGCTCTCCATACAAGTTAATAATTATATTTAATGAAAATGCAGGAAAGTTAAACAAGTCAATAAAAGCTTCAATTGGCAAAATTATATACTTAAAATGTTCGACTAATTTATAAATTATAATCATCTTTTACTTACCATACTTACCAAAATAAATAAATTATAATCAGCTTTCTTTTTATCAAAACATTAAATTATGATCATTTTTTATCGCTCAAAGGGTACTTAAGTTGATGCCAATCGACAATTAAAATGTCCAATCAAAACTGCAATGAACTTAACTGCATTTGAACAAGTAGAGGATATTTAAATTCATTGTAAACATCTGCAAAGGTAAGTACTCAAGTCAAAATTCATTAAACATAATCAATCCCATTTGACAGAGACCATTAATACTAACAGCACAGACACTTGCAAAAACCAAAAAAAAAAACAAAAAAAACAAACAAACACTAACAGCACAGACACAAAAAGATAACAAGACAAGACCATTTCACTTCCAACATTGTGATGTACTTATCAATCTACCTCACTGTAACAATGTCATCGATCTTCAAAATCATCCGCACACACTCTGTAGCCAATGTGATCGCACTTGTACTCACTAACAGAGGCTGCACCACATTCTCCTCCAAGATGTTAGTAATTTGCCCCTTCCTCACATTGATGCCAGCATTGATCTCACCCTGTGCATGCCGATTCCGAAGCTCAGTCACAATAGAAATTGGGTTCAAACCTGCATTCTCAGCCAAAGTATACGGAATAACTTCAAGGGCCTCTGCAAACGACCTCACACAATAACTCTCCATCCCTTGCAAGACCTTAGCCCATGCACCCAATTGTCTGGACAGCTCAATCTCCGGTGCACCACCACCTGCAATTAAGAACCTCTTGTTCACCAGACACCTAACAACACACAATGCATCATGCAAACTTCTTTCCGCCTCATCAAGAACCAACTGATTTGACCCACGAACAAGCACTGTCATGGTCCTACCCATTTCTTTAATCCCCGTGATCTTCACAATCTTCCCATCTCCAATCGAAACCTCTTCAACTAAGTCTGCATAACCCAACTTCTCTGCACGGAAATGCTCTATATTCGCAATAGGCAAGCAATTCAATGTCTTGGTAATGAACTCAATCTCATCACGCTCAACGTCCTTAATCACCAAAATCTTTGCCTTTGCAAGATAATGCAATGACAAATCGGTAACAGCATCTCTCAAAATACTCTTTTGAATTAACAATACATTACACCCCGTAGCCTTAACCTTCTTAATCATGCTGAGAATATAATTCCTCTCTTCTTTCAGAATCCGATCCATTTGGGTATAATCAGAAACAACTATAGATTGTTCAATATCAGTTTTTGGAGGCGAAATTTGGAACTGAATCACAGCAATCTTTGCATTCTCCACGCGAGTTGGACCACCAGCAGAGTGACTAACCTTCTTGTCGAAAACCAAACCCTTGACGAGCTCAGTGTCGTCAACAGTCCCTCCAAGCTTCTTCACGATCTTGACATCACGCAGGTCAACAAGATCGGGTTTTGAGGGGTCTACAACTGAGAGAACCGCATCAACAGCAATAGGAGCTAGAAGCGTTGAGTATTGACTCACGACCTTGCTGTTGAGCGAAGTGCTAGCGGACTTCACAAGCGATTCGCGATCAGAGAGCTCGATTGGCACGGCCATTGCCGTGAGGACATCGACGGCCTTGAGCGAGGCCTTGTGGAGTGAATCGGAGATGACAGTGGGGTGAATGCCGCTGTTGAGGAGAGAGAGGGCTTGTTTAAGAAGGGCTCCGGCGATAACAACGACAGTAGTGGTGCCGTCGCCGGCGACGATGTCCTGAGACTTGGAGAGCTCCACGAGCATCTTGGCGGCGGGTTGAAGGACCTCCATCTTGTTGAGGATGGTGGCGCCGTCGTTGGTGATGATGACCTCGCCGGAGGCGGTGGAGATCATCTTGTCCATGCCTTTGGGGCCGAGGCTGGTACGGACGGCATCAGCGACGGCTCGGGCGGCGACGATGTTGGCTTGACGGATATCGTCCTTGCGCTTGTTGTCGACGTATCTCTCGGTCTTGGATGTGGCTGAGCGAGAGGCTTGGACCGCCATTGGTGTTAAGATCAAAGATTGAAACACTGAACTTTACCCTAGATCCTAGCAGTGTCAAGCTGTGGACTTTCAGTGGGTGAGAGAGAAATTTGTGAAGTTGAAACCCTAAATCGGTGAAAATAATCTAATGACACAAAACCCTAGAGGTACAGCGGGACACAGAGAGAGATAAGTAGTTGTTTATATTAGGGCCTATCCTTTCAGTTTTTTGGCAGAAAGCCCCATCCGATTTTTTTTTGACATAAAACTACCCCAAGTTCTTTGCTTGTTGCAACACTACCCCTAATGACGAAAATGTCCCTTAATTTAATACAATATACTCCATATATATATATATAGTTAAGAAATAATGCCCTTTAATCTAAGATTAAAATTAATACAAATAAGTCATTCGGTATAGTGTTAAAATTTATTTCTGAAATATAAAAAATAAAAATACCTTGGATTTTAAAAAATTTCTTAAATTTTTAGTTTTTTAAAAAAAATAAAAATGGAAAAGAAAACTTAAATTATTTTAAAGAAACCTAATTTTTTTAAAATTTATATTAATGGGTATTTTTGTCATTGTTACGTCACTTTAATATTGTGTAATTTTTTATTTTTTTGTTAAGTTCTATTTTTAAAAATTAACAAGGAGAAGAAAAACTAAAATGAAAATAATTTAAAAATACTCTAGGCCTCGTTTGCATGGAAATATTTTGGGGATAGGAAAAAAAAAAAAAAAAAAAAAAAAAAAAAAAAAAAAAAAAATGTTGTGTTTGAATGGGAGAATTTGAGGAGAAAAAGAAAAGAAACTATCCCTCCAAATCCCTTATATAGTATCTCTCCAACAAAATAAATAAATAAATAAATAAATAAAATGTTAGGGAGTTTTATGTTAAGATAATTTTGTAGAGGGTTTCATGCCAAAAATAGAAAATATATGCAATTTGACCTTTATATTATTATAATGTCATATTAGTATTAATTAAAAAAAATTTAAAATTGTGTTTGAGAAACAATTTACTGAAGAATGATTTTTCAATCCACTTTTTCAAATTGCACTCAACATAATTTTTAAATTATTATTTAAACTATTCGCACAACTATTCATGTCAAGTTTTATTAAATTTGACTAATTTAATATGAGTAAAGGCTAATGTCATAGTTACTTTACAAATATTTATGATATCAGTCCAGAAGTTATTAGGGATAAATGAAATATTCCTTCAACTAAAAAAAAAATTGTTACAAATAGTTGTATTAAAGATTTTGAAGTGAAATGTAAATAATGAAAAATATAATGTGAATATTAATTTTCCCAATTTATATTTATTGTCCTTAAACGTGTGTGGATGCTATTGAGAGAATGTGAAGTCCACTTTCTAAATTTGTAGTAGTTTTAAATAAAACTATGTTTCAAATGGTGTGATCGAAATCGTCGAAATTTTCTTTCTCTCAAATTTAATAGTCCTTCTAAACCGGTCACATTCTTTTCTATTTTTTTTATAAATATAATAAAAACATCCCCTTTATTTCTCTCTCACTCGAATCTATTTGTTTCCGAACTTGTAGCGCTCTCTCCCTAAATAAGCTATTAAACACATCCTATATTTTGGTGAAAAAAAAAAAATTCACATCCTATTCATATATACATACATCTATTTTATACTTTAAATTCAAATAAGTATAACTTTATATTCATATATACATACATCTACTGGGTGTGTTACATCATACAGGAGAGTTTAGGGATCAATTGACAACGGAGGTGGGTGTGTTACATCACATGGGAGAGCTTAGGGATCAATTGACAACGGAGGTGGTGCTTTTGGCTGCTGGTGGTAAAAGTATTTCCATAATTAAAATTTGATGAGTACATCTTGCACGGTCAATAGAACACCAAGGTAAAAAAATATAAGAACAAAACATTGTGTTTCTGAAGATTTTTGTAAATTTATTTTAGAAAAAAAAAAAAAAAAATCGGTTTTGACATTTGCACGTCACTTTATCTAGTAGTAATAACTAAAATGACAAAATTGCTATTTAAAAAATATAGCATGACAATAAATTTGTTTTTTTTGTTTTTTTTTAAGAATATCTAATAATACTATGTTATCCGAAAACAACATGGCCACGAAATATATCATTACAAGCATTTATTGTGAATAGATTTGAACTTAGTATTGATTTTTGGTGCAATCTCAGGTTTGTAAAAAATATATTAATACCACAACAAATAGAACTAACTATAGTCCTTGTATTACTATTCAAATCTCGAATTTTTTAAAGATTTTTTCATAAGCCCACCAAATTAATACTATATTACATGTTTTCCCTCCCTTCTAAATTTATAAAAATAATATATATTGAACGCATTGTGATTATTAAACATTGCAGATTCTTTCCTTAATAATATTTGTTCAACAACTATTTCTCATAGTTTTACTATGTAATTCATTAATTTAATTTCCTTACATGTATTACAATATTGTATATGGGTATATCTACTGTATTTTTTCACCTTTGACAATATATCAATTTAATTCCTTTATAGGTACAATATTGTACATTATTTTTTTTAAATTGGTACTATAATACTTTTCTTGTTGGCATTATGCTTCTTTTAGAATTATATTTTAATAAAATTGTGAGCAAATAAATTTACTGTATTTTATTTTATTTATCATTTTTATATTAAATGATTCAAACTGCGTTTCCACACACATACGGCCCAAATAAATTGTCAAACTCACTTACCCTTCTTCTCCTCCCTGAACCAAACGAACGACGTGTACCACCCTGACAACACACACGGTGTGTGTGAGACCACACCGGCTCCCTCTCACACACAGGAGTCGAAAACCCTAGTTAGTAATTACAGAAAATGGCGACCAATCTCCGAAGCTAAACTGATTGATTACAATCCGCAACATCACCATGCCCTATTCGGCAATTTTCGTTAACCACTACCTCAGAGCAAGCCCATTCGTCGCCATTTCTCTGAGACAACCAAAGCTAACACTAACTGCCACAACACCCTCTTTGCAGTTCAGTCGCCGCCTCCATTCGTACCCCAGAAACCCTAGACTCCTCCGCCCTCCACGGCCGCCACTGTTTGTCGCCTCCAATAGACCCCAAACGGTAGCCTACTCCTCCGTCACACACGTCTCTCGTCACCGCCGGCTCAGGTCTGCCTTTGGGTTCACATGCTCGGCTGCTTCTTCTTCCGGTGTTTGTTCTGCTGTCGTCTTGAAGAGGGGCAATGCCTCTTCCTCTTATTTTTATCAGCAGAACTCGCAGTACGGTCGGTATGCGTACGACGACTATGTATCCGAGGAGGAATCTGATCGCGAAGTCGGCTCGGGTGGCTCTGGTCGGCAAGCGGTGAGTTCTAAACTAAGTATTTTTGTTTGGGTTTTGCGGGTTGTTCTATTTGATTGCCATTTGCTTAATCTATTTGAATGCCGATTAAGAGTAATTTTGGGTTGGGTTTTTGTTTGGCGGCTGGGAAAAGGTATGAAATAAGAGGTGAATCATACTTACGGAATTTTTTTTCATCATTTAGGATTTGGAAAAACCTACTACTGATTCTATCAGAAAGGGGTTAGTGTTTGGCGCCAAAATTGATTTCTTTCACTGGAATGTGAATTTTGTTGAGAATCCAATAACTTGCTACACAACTTGTAGCGCATTTTAACTGCCCATACAAAATGTTGCATTAGTTTTAATTGAGACTTCAATTTCAATCATGTATTTGCATCTTCACTATAACTCATTAGTTACATATCTATCAAGGAAAAAGGAGGGGTGAAACTATCCCGTGGAAACTGTAGTGTTTTGGTGAATCATTGTTGTTGATGTTATTTGCTGTTCTCTTAATTGCTTCCTACTGCCTTTTGAAGTGTGTTACTCCTTAGAAGTTAGAAATTTATCTATTAAAATTTGAATGCTACCGTATACAACATCTGTTATTTTTCTTCCTATTGTTGATTCATGATCACCAGTGTGCTTCAACCCTTGAAAATATTGAAGAGTGGAAGTGGAAGTTGACCATGCTCATGCGCAACAAAGACGAACAAGAGATGGTGTCAAGGGGGAAAAAAGATCGGCGTGATTTTGAGCAAATTTCAATGCTCGCAACCAGAATGGGTTTATATAGGTATCTTGAGGCTCTCTGATGTAGGTATTTATCTTGGCTGTTCATTATCATATAACATTCTTTCTGAAATGCAGTTTTCTTGTGCAGCCGTCAATATGCAAAAGTAGTTGTCTTTAGTAAAGTTCCACTTCCAAACTACAGATCAGATCTGGATGATAAGCGGCCGCAGAGGGAGGTATTTCCTTTCTGCCCTGAACTCTGTGTCTCTTGTTTTGCTAGTTAATCTCTTTAAGTTTGAATGAAGAATGATTTGCTTCCTTAGAGCACTTCATCATTTTTCCAAAATATTTTTAGGAATTTGAAATGAGGTGGATGGTTATTGTGTGCAAATGGAATTGAAAATTGTGCCTAAAGCTTAAAGGTTCAAATTTGATTATTTATTTCAGTTCATCTGATGTAATTTTCAAACACGCTTGAGAATATACAGGTGGTTTTGCCTTTCGAGTTGCAAAGACAGGTGGATGCTCATCTCAAAGGATACATTTCCAGAAAGCCCGTGAACAAGGAAAGAATTTCAGATGATGCCTTTTTAAGATCAAGCAGTGGTGGGAGCCATTCTACTGGTGGACTGTATGAGCAAGAGGAGTCCTCGACACAGGGCACTAGTGTTGCTGCGGAGAAAATCCTTCTGCGGAGAAGCTTGCAACTGTGTAATAAGCAACAAGATTGGCAGGTTTATATCACCCTTAAAAATAGAAAAGGGTTACTTTTTTTTTGGTCATAATTAATGTGTAGCTTGCTGCGCAGTTATTTTGCATTTTGTTTTGTTTTGTTTTGTTTTTATTATTTTTTTATGAAAGCTTGTGATCTGTATTTGATTTGTGGCGGGATTGAGTTTGCGTTGGATGTTGAGACATGACACTCGGTCAATTTCACTTATGTCTTATTGAAGTTTTTTTTCTCTTCTAAAATTCTTAGCTTTCGTTTTCTTGATAAGTTATTCTTAGCGTTCATTTTTTAGGAAAAAAATGAAATCTTTGAACAATGAGAGTTAACATTGTTGAATATGTTCTGATTTATTCACTGAAACAAAAAACATTGTTGAATATCAATTCAATTGTTAAAGATTCTCTCTTCTTTTTACTTTTCCTCTCTATCTCATTGCGGAAGTATCTTTTTTTTTTTGATAAGTAAATTGTATTAAAAGCGTTCAAAAGGGGAACGCGTCCCAAACTATACAAAGACAAAACGGAGCCTATGAACTCAAAGAGCTCATAAAATCAACAATATCCTCAAGAGAGGAGTAGTCTCTCCCCTGACCCCAACAAAACAAATTACAAATGATGGAAAATTTTAACACCCCAATGGAGGATTCCTTTCTCTCAAAAGATCTTCCATTACGCTCTCTCCAAAGGCTCCACCAAATACAAAAAGGGGTCACCCTCCAAAAAACTCTTGCCTGAACCCCCACCCATTGGCTCCTCCACATATCTAACAACTCCCGAGATGGCCGAGGCATGACCCAATGAATACCAAACAGGCCAAACATCAAACTCCAACAATCATGAGCCACAGGACAGAGCAACAAAAGATGATCCACCGACTCCCCATTAATCTTGCAAAGACAACACCTATTAACAATGATATGCCTTCGCTTCCTCAAATTGTCCAAAGTCAAAATCTTACTCCAAGCTGCAGTCCACACAAAAAAGGCCACCCTAAGAGGCGCCTTAGACCTCCACACCGTCTTCCATGGGAATAAGGTACCATGAAAACCAGAAAGGCACACAAAAAAAGGACCGGACCTGGAACATCTTCTGAGAAGAAGGCACCCAAATCAAGGAATCTGCCCCAGACCCCTCCACCTCGTGTCCGTAAAGGAGAGCCAAAAACCCAGTGACATCATCCAGCTCCCAATCCTGAAAAGCTCGCCGGAAACGCACATCCCAAGACAACCTTCCACTATCAAGGCGATAGTAGTCAGCAACCATAGCATGTTTGTCAACAGCAATCCTGAAAAGCCTGGGAAACAATAGGGCCAAAGACCTATCATCACACCATGGATCCTCCCAAAACCGGACATTTCTTCCATCCCGAACTTTGAATCTAATATGTTTGGAAAAGGCATCCCACCCCTTACCAATGGCCCTCCACACCCCCACTCCGCTAACAGACCTGACTGGTCTAACTGACCACCCACCTCTCTCCTCCCCAAAGCGACATGAGATAACCCTTCTCCATAATCTATGTCTTTCCTTACCAAATCTCCAAAGCCACTTACCAAGAAGAGCACAATTGAAAAGGGCCAATCTCCTAATTCCAAGCCCTCCCAACCGAATAGGCTTGCAAACCTGTTCCCATTTGACAAGATGATACTTGAACTCTTCTCCACGACCCCCCCAAAGGAAATTACGTTGGAGCATTTCTAGTCTTTCAACAATAGAGGCTGGAATACGAAAAAGTGAAAGAAAGTACGTTGGAAGGCTTGACAAAGTGCTCTTCACTAACGTAACTTTACCGCCCTTTGACAGATATTGTTTTTTCCAACCCGCTAATCTTCTCTCGACCCGCTCAATCACCGGGTTCCAACTTCCCACCCTCCTAGCCGAGTCCCCCAGCAACAAACCCAAGTACGAGATGGGAAAGCGTTGCGTCCCACACCCTAGAACAGCAGCCAGAGTGTCCACCTCCTGAACCTCCCCCACAGGATCAATCACACTCTTTCCCACGTTAACTTTCAAACCAGAAACAGCCTGGAAACAAACCAAAACACATCTCAGATACCTCAACTGGGATACATCAGCCTCACAAAAAACAATAGTGTCATCCGCAAAAAGTAAATGAGAGATCTCCAACTGCTGAACTGATTCAGGGCCAATCTTGAAACCCCTAAGAAAACCCAAATCCACCACCCTTCTCATCAGCCTGCTAAGGAAGTATCTTAAACCTCCTTAATCTCATAGCTGGAGTTTGTAGCTCATGCCATTGCTTTTGGCTTGCTAATGCCATGTGTTACTTTGATAATGCATTTTAGGAACCCTTTTTTATAAATTCAATGCGGAACCTTGGATCATGAGCAAATATGACACTGTTTCTGATGGTCGAGTAATTGGGTTTTTGTACACATTTGGTATTTTAGAATTTAATTTTTCAATGCTTTTATTCCTTCATCCCTCTTTGACGTCTGTTTAATTTTAGATATGAGATCAATTTGGGAAAGTAGATGGCTGGGGGAATAGCTTTTTAACATCTGTTGCCCTTTTTATTTTTTATTAATGCACTTATTCCTTCGTCCTCTTTTGAGGTTTGATAATTTTAGTCGCTTATTGAATCAATTTCGGGAAGTGCCTGGTTTGGTAATAGCCTTCTTATGTTTATTGCCTCATCTCATGTAGATTTATATCCATATTTAGGTGGCACTTCCGCTTGCTTCAACCTTGATATAGGGGATTCAACCATATCCTTAATTTTTTATTTTTATTTGTTTTAATATATAACTTTTGGGTACAATTAGAATACCTTAAACATGTAACAAGGGATCAATACCTAGCTATTTGAGTGATGATTTGTGCTGAAGTGCATTGATCACGTAGCTAAAAAAAAAAAAACTTTCTAAAATTTATATTGTTAAGATGGATGATAGGAGTAATTGGAAGAGATAGAGTTGCTAGAATTTAAGAGTGAGGAGAAAATTGATTTAGGTGGTATGGATATTGTACAACGTAGATTTGTAGATGAGTCAGTGAGAAATGGAAAATTAGTTTGTGTAGAAGGTTAGTGTAACAGGTCAGATGCTTGCCCTCTGACCCAAAAGTTTAAGCTGTTGGGTAGTGCTGCAAACCTCCCACCCTTATATGCCCAAGTCGTTCCCCATCTGGATCTGATTTACGACAAGACCCTTATAACATTCTCTCTCATCCGAACTCGCAACGCCCTCGTTACAGGCACTTGGCGTGACACCGGATGAAGGATTGAGTCTGGCTCTGATACCACTTGTAACGAGTATGGCGCTTGCCCTCTAACCCAAAAGCTAAATTGTTAGGTAGTGCTGCATATCCACCCTTTTATGCCCAAGTCCTTCCCCATTCGGATCTGACGTGGGACAAGACCCTTCTAACAGTTAGAGACAAAGAGGTGGACCAGAACAAACATAAGATTGAAGTTATTCGCAATGACTTCAGAAAATTAAATATAATCATAGAAAATACTCTTTTGATAGAAAAGAATGCAAAACGATAATTATTCATATGGGCCAAAAGCAATGATGATGGTGGTGGTGCTGATTGTTATTAGGGTAAATTATTTTGACCTCCCCTAAGGTTTGGCCTAATTAAATTGAGATTAAAGTTCTTAAAATATGATGGTCAACCAGCCTCAAGATTTGGTTGACTTTACTCCGGATTCCCCTGCTGTCAATTTATCGTTAGGCCCGTTAAAGTTAAGAAAAAAATAATAATCAATATGCCAAAATTACCCACTTATGCAGCAGAATTACTACAATAACCTTAACAAACAAATAAAATCACCATTCAAACCTCTCTTCTCTTTCTCATTACCATCATCTACACTGTATATACATATATTTAAATGCAGATTATCAATTCATCCCCATTGTTGAATCCTAGCACAATTATTAGCCATCAATTAATTTGTGCACGTGAGATCAATTGAAGATAGCTTGAATTTGTTGTCGATTTCTTAAACTAAAGCCCCACCATCATCAATTTCACTTCTTCATTCCCCACTTTCTCATAACAACGCTATTGATCAAAAAGATGCCATTGATGTGGAGAACACCAATTCTCGCTATTTTAAGGCTCCCCTTCTATTTGTAGAGAGAGTAAATAAGAGACTACCGTTTGTGTAGAGATCGGACGGGGATGCTTCAGCGTTGTTTCTTAGTGTTACTCCCCAAAGTTTGGCAAGTCCTTTTTCGTCAAGTCCATCGACATGCTCTCGTCTTCAACGTTCCATGGACCGAAAATGCCTTTACAACGAAGTCAAGGTTATGAACCTCCTATCTCCAAACCCTAACATCATCTAGGGGTGGCAAATGGCAATTTGTGTTGGCGTGTTGTGTTAGGACATGAGTATCTTGTTATATTGGTTGACACGAATACGACACGATTATTATTCGTGTCAAGAAACCTTGACACGAACACCACACGATTACTACATGGGTAACACGACACGACACGCATAGCCTATTTAATAAATGGGTGAAGACTGGACACTACAAGACATGTTTACGTTATTTTTGACATGAATACGACACGTTTAGCTAAACGGTCATTAACACGAACATGACATGTTTAATTAATCGGGTTATAACGGGTTGAGGAGTCAAATACGAATACGATATGTTTAATTACTGTGTTAATTCAAATCGACACGATTATGACCTAAACATGATTAAGCCAAACCCACTTATCCCGTGTCGTGTTCAAGTTGTGTTAGCATGTCGTGTTAAATAGGAAAAGGGGAAATTTTCTTGTTAATTGGTGCTGTTTATGTTAGCAGAATGGGGAGGCAGTCGATCATCTCCTAATGCATTGCTCTGTAGCGCGCGATTGCTGGAATCTCATTCTTGGCCTATTTGGCATGTGTTGGGTAATGCCACGTTCTACTAGGGAGCTAATTCATACTTGGAGAGGTTGTCATGTGATTAGGAGCGTTCGTGCTTATTGGAGATCTGTACCACATTGTATTTGGTGGTGTATCTGAAAGGAGCGAAATAGTAGAATGTTTGAAGGGATGGAGTCGTCTACAGCGACATCATTCACTCTCTTTTTTGTTATGTGAACAGAAGTTCGTGTTCCTCTTCTGTTGATTTAATTTCTTTTCTGGATTCTTTGGGGCCTTGAACCCCGGTTCCTTTGTCCACGGGACGCGTTCCCATTGAACGCCCTTTTTAATTTATTATTATTTATCAAAAAAAAATATTGCCACCCCTAGTCCGAATCTTCAACGTCAACGAAGACAATAATCATCTTCACATCATCCTCGAGCTTTGCAACTCCTCCGATCTCTTCCAGCTAGTGAGGGAACGAGTTTTCTCCGAGTAGGAGGCTGTCGCAATGATGGTACCATTGATGGAGGCGACCGCTCACTCACTGTCACCATTTTTTTTTTCTTGTTTTTGTTGGGCGGTGCTGGAGAGAGGGGCATGGGTGGTGGGGGAGAGAGAGGGTGGTGGAGATAAAGGGCAGGAGAGAGAGATGGAGTGGCAGTGGCGGTGGGTGGTGGTGATGGTGAGGGGGTGGTGGAGAGAGATACATGTGTTATTTTAATGTTTTTTGCGTAATAAAAAATATATAAAAATTAGCAATCTTTTAGTAATTAAACAATAACCACCAATAATTTGAGGGCTTTTAAGTAAATTTATACGAAATGTTTGTTCAAGTAACGGGTCGTTAGTCTGAAGGGGGATCAGAGTAAGTATGCGAAAAGATTAATCCGAGTGTAGCTAAGCCATATCCCAGGGGAGGTTAGAGTCATTTACCCTTATTATTATCATCATTATTATTTCATCCTTTTCGCCTTTCTTTTTATCTCTTTTTTTTAGAATACCACTTCTTTTGCCTTGTAAACTGAAAAAGAGTTATTCAGTTTGAGACGTTGTTCACTACATATGCTTCTTAAAAGCTTACCATTGAATGTTTGCTCTTGTGGAGTTCTGAAATCATGCTATTCTTTCATAATTTTTGGGTAAGTTAGTGGCATTAATTTTCAAGAGATTGTTGCATGTTGATTTTCAGAATATAGTTTATCTTCTAGGAGTATTAGTCAAAGTTATTAGCCAAAATTTTTTCATCAGGGTGTTTAGTTTATATGTTTTTGTTATCGACATAGTTTACTTCTGAATTGTCCCGACATGCTTCAATTTATGCATTTAGTTGTACGTTTGTTATTAAGGACATGCAAATCTTGTTTGAAAAATATCTGTTCTTTGATAGGAATCTTCAGATGGCCAAAAGATGCAAGAATTTCGTAGAAGTCTCCCTGCATATAAAGAGAGAGATGCATTATTAAATGCCATTGCAAAAAATCAGGTAACTCTTTTTTATTAATTTGTTGAATTTAGATGCGTTGCCTGTTCAATATTTTTGTTTATTTTTGAATCAATTGCAGAAAAATTGTGAAGGTATTGTCTCATAAGGTTTTCAGGTCGGATTTTATTCTCTTTCCAGTTAGCAACCATTTTTAGTTAAAAATAAGATAAATGTAAACACAAAATAAAATAGTAAAGTGAAAGGGCAATTTACAAAAAAAATACTTTTTAACTCCCAAGAAGTTGGCTTTTGAAGATTCCATTGGTGGTAGAATGCTACTTTGGAGTTCTGTAGATAATTAGCATGCCAAGAAAGAGCTCAGAGATCTCCACTAACTTAAAAAGGGATGGAGACAAAGGATAGTATATTTTAGTTAATTAGCATTCTTTTTGGAGAGGACTAAAATTATGGCTTTATGCAATGAATTGGCGAAACAGGATTAAATGGAGTTGACCTTTAATACTTATCAAAAAAAAAAAAATGGAGTTGACCTTAAATACCTGGACAAGACTTGTTGAGGCCGGTTGAACATAATATGTTTAGTGAGTTCTCTTTGTTTTTTAAAATGAGTTATATTTCTAAATATTTTGCAGGTGCTGGTTGTGTCAGGTGAGACAGGGTGTGGTAAGACCACACAACTTCCTCAGTACATCTTAGAGTCTGAGACTGAAGCTGCTCGAGGAGCTCTCTGTAATATTATTTGTACTCAGCCGAGACGAATATCTGCTATGGCAGTTGCTGAAAGAGTTGCTGCAGAACGCGGTGAGAAACTTGGAGAATCTGTAAGTTTCTGTCTTGACCTTTCGGATTCTTGCTGAAAAAATTTATTTGTCGATAGTGTTTTTCGGTGGCAGATGGGCATTAAATTATTGCAAATTCAATTTTTTTTACCCCTTTGAAGGTTGGTTTTAAAGTTCGATTAGAGGGAATGAAAGGGAGGGAGACACGTCTTCTATTTTGCACTACTGGCATATTGCTAAGGAGGTTACTTGTTGACAGAAAATTGAAAGGTGTAACTCATGTTATTGTTGATGAAATTCATGAACGTGGAATGAATGAAGGTAATTGTGGAACTGATTCTTCTATTTATTTATTTGTATATCTTTAATTTAATTTAAGTATGATTTTTTTTTGATGTGTTTTCTTATCACCGTTTGTGTTTTGTGTCAGATTTTCTTCTTATTGTCCTCAAGGATCTCCTTCCTCGTCGACCAGAATTGAGATTGATTTTGATGAGTGCAACCCTTAATGCCGAGCTTTTCTCGTCCTATTTTGGTGGTGCTCCGATGATCCACATTCCTGTAAGTTTAGAGTTCTTAAGTACCATGTTCTATGATTTGTTCTATATGTATTTGAAAGCAGTCCCGTGATATTTAAAATGCATATTTTCTTAAAAAAACAGGTGTCTTTCAACACAATTTATTCTATTACAAACTTGATTATTACTATTAGTTGATATAATTATAGTTATTTTTCTTGCTTATGGTAGCATAAATATTTGGGAATGGAATATCCCAGCATAAATTTCAATTTTATGCTTTTCTTCTGTTCTATTTAGCGTTTTTAAGCTTGCTTGTAAGTTATTCACAATCACCATGTATAGGCATAGTAGTGTTGACTGTTGGACTCACCTTCTTTATTTTGTGGCGGGGTTGGGGTGGGTGGATCGTATTCTCAGGGTTTTACATACCCAGTCCGAAGTTATTTTCTGGAGAACATTTTGGAAATGACTGGGCATAGGTTAACTACGTACAATCAGATAGATAATTATGGTCAAGAAAAAATGTGGAAAATGCAGAAACAAGCTGTCAGAAAGAGGAAGAGCCAAATTGCTTCAGCTGTAGAGGTAAAAAAGTTTTACATGGCCATACCCTCTTAGTTTCATGCGTTCGCTTTCCTATAAATTTATATTTTGACTTTAAACCTTGGAACAGGATGCACTTGAAACTGCCGATTTTAGGCAATATGGTCCACGAACTCAGGAGTCGTTATCCTGTTGGAATCCTGATTCAATTGGCTTTAACCTCATCGAGCATGTACTTTGCCATATATGCAAAAAAGAAAGACCTGGTGCTGTTTTGGTTTTTATGACTGGTTGGGATGACATAAATTCTTTGAAGGAGCAGCTCCAAGCTCATCCACTCTTGGGAGATCCAAGCAGAGTTTTGCTGCTTGCATGCCATGGTTCCATGGCAAGCTCAGAGCAGGTAACCTTGTATTTACTGTTTGTTGTGGGTTTTATCTTGTCATCTATGCATATGGTTGTGTTCCTTTATATGAACTCTTGCAGAAGACCAAGCCATTTCTACAACCAGCAACTTTTTGCAATGGCATGCTAATAATGGATATGTGTAATAAAAAGGTCGAAGTTGCTAGTAAATGTTCTTGGAAGTATTTGTCTTATCAGGCAAGGCTCAAGGAAAGAACTTGAGGCCCAACCTGCTTAAGTCATCTAAAACTCACCTACATAGTGTGATGCCAAGGATTTTTTTTTTTTTTTTTTTTTCCCAAAAAGTTTTTTGGAGTTGCAACAACTAATAACGATTTGATTTTTGAAGCCTTTAGAGGTTCTCGACAGCTTTTCTGTAGGGATGGCAACGAGGCAGGTATGGGACGGGTTTCCTTAAACCTTGCCCCACCTTATTTAGTATTACAGCATCCCATACCTTTCCGGGACCTGGGCTGGTTTCAACTCATCATTGATCATCCCATCCCCAGTCATAATTAGAGCTCCCAACCCCGTTCTTGCCCCGTGTTAACCCAAAATCCTTCACACAATGTAATTTCTAGCTCACAAATCATCAAATTGGAGGGACATTGAGATAAAAGGTCCTTTAGGCTTTATCCCAAATAAAAAACCATCAAATAAGCCATAAATTTAGAATGGCATTAACAACAAATGGAAATGACAGATCTTCCTTTCTGTATTGAAAAAAGAAAAAACGTGAATTTGAGAAAACACAAGAAAGCTAAATTCATATAGTTCTAGATGAAATTATTAATTAATAGGAAGTGAAGTTGATGTGTACTTTTACTTTTCAGTTAACAGTGATATATTATTTCACACATAGGCAAAAGAAACAAAAAAAGAAGAAGAAAGAAACAGGCATCCTTTCTACTTTAGTTTAGTTCAGACACCCCACCTCCCGGCAAACAAGTTGCTTCTTTTTTTAAAATTTATTTTACACCCTTCCCCCTGGGAGGGATTATGATATAACTGTTACTTTTTAAATGGTAAATTGATGGCAAGGGGGTTTTGGACTCTAAATTGAATAGTCCCAGGTGTTTAATTGTGTAGCGTGAAGATAAATTATAGTTCATGGGGGTTTTGTGATATTAACCCATTTTGAAATTTCAAGTGAAGTTATAAAATTGCATGTGGAATGTAGAGTTAAGCATTCAAGCAACTGCTTAAGACTTTAAAATGTTTTATTATGACTTAGTAAGTTTTTATCAAATAAGATAAAATTAGAACCTAATACACATCTAAATCCAAGGACATCATGTTATTATTATTATTATTTTAAAATCATTTGGTTTAAGCTTAGGTTGGAACATTCAAGAGCCTAAAGAACCTATTTTTTGCTATTAGACTAGTTAGCCAAGTATACATTTATACAGTCACCTCATACAAGTTTTGACTCTATTTGTGAATTATGTCATCTTAAGCTTTTTAATAACTTGACTAAAAACTCCGTTAAATGACAAGTGAAATATGTGGTATAATAATGAAGAGATTCAGTTAATAGCATATTTAGAACTTTTAATTTAACCCCCACCTCCTAAAAGAAAAAGATTCATTAATTTGTGAGTAATTCTTAAGCCTATTCACATCTTAGTTATTTTGAGATTAAACTTAGATTATTAAAAGATTTTGAACACACAAGTACCTAAATCGAATTAGTTTAATTCAGCTCTCAAATTTGATTGGCCTGAATTCAATTGAAGTGTTTTTTTTTCCCACTGGTTTCCCTTATATATGCTTTCTTGTATTATGTTTGATGTTTATTTTTTTAATGATATTATATATTTTTTGAATATTAATGGGTATGACCCTTCACGGGCAAGTGGTTTGAAACCTAATTGTATTTCAACCTTAGTTTATATGTTGTTGGTATAGTTTATGGTTCATAAAGATTATCAAACCTGCATAGAAAAGAAAGTCATATGTTGTGAGATATCCAGATATATCATTCACTAGAATTGTCAAATTCCTCGTCTCTTTGGAAGAATTTTGGAATTCTGCAAAGATAGATTTCGAAATTTCAGCTATTCTGAATCCTGAAATTTGTGTAGGAAGAACGCTATGAATCTGGTGAAATAAAAGGAATTGCCTTAAAACCTTGAAAAGGACTCTTAACGGAACTTATAATTCACTATACTAATACCTTTAGGCTTAGTGACTTACAACTAGCGTCATAGGAAATATAAAAGATGAGACTTCGCTGCAATTTTTTAAACTCTTGATGCCAATACCATATGTCTCTTATAGGAGCCAGTTTCTTCCATTTTTGTTTACTTGTACATGGGTGTGCTTCAATGCAGATTCCGTATCATGCATGCACACAAATTATATGTATCTGATTGTACGTAGTGTATATAGCATTTTTTTTTACTTCTGCATTTGAGTGGGCACTGTTGGGCGACCAAAACTAACATGGGATGAAGTGATACGAAATGATTTAAAAAATTAAATCTAGTAGGAGAAATGCTTACGATAAAAAATATTGGAAAAAGAGAATTCATGTGGCCGACCCTGTTGATACAGGATAAAGGCAAGGATGATGATGATTAGAGTGGCACTATTAAACTCTGTGTAGCATGTGTTTCTGGTCTAGTTTTTGACTGGCATTTGTTGCTTGTAACTCTGTCTCTGTCTCTCTCTCACACATTATATTATTGTATTAGGTTTAAGTTATAATTTTTCCCTCTTGTGCTTAAATTCTGGTGCCATGCAGAATCCCAAATATCTATGTTTAGTACAGGTCGCCTATTTTTGTTATTCGTTTTCAACTTTTCATCTTGCTGTTTTTTTTAAATATATATATATATATATATATATATTTTATTATAAATTCTAGTTTCTTGCGCTAAAAGAAGTATCATCATGATTTTATCTTTCAATTTAAGTTTGTACTTCATAACTTGATCACATATATGTTTGGAACTATTTGGTACTAGTAATCTGATGCTTTATTATTATTATTTTTTAAAATTTACTTTTATTGGTCTTCATAACAGAGGTTAATATTCAATAAACCTGAAGAGGGAGTGAGGAAAATAGTTCTAGCAACTAACATGGCTGAGACAAGTATCACCATTAATGATGTGGTTTTTGTGGTTGACGGTGGAAAAGCAAAAGAGACGTCATATGATGCATTGAACAACACTCCATGTTTGCTTCCTTCCTGGATCTCAAAGGCTTCTGCTCGGCAGGTATGACTATGCTGATTTACATTTGCTGCTTTAGATAGCCTATAGAATGATATTTGGTGTATGGCTTTTACTAGTTTGATGCCATTCCTTTTGATTTACATCATTTTGGGGTTTATCGCATGGATTAGTGACACTAATGTCTTCTCCATTGAGTAGAGAAGAGGAAGAGCTGGTCGCGTTCAACCAGGCGAGTGCTTCCATCTCTATCCCAGATGTGTGTATGATGCTTTTGCTGATTATCAGTTGCCAGAACTCTTAAGAACGCCCTTACAATCTCTATGTTTGCAAATTAAAAGTTTACAACTTGGGAGTATCTCAGAGTTCCTATCTAGGGCCTTGCAGCCTCCAGAACCTCTGTCAGTAAGTTTCAATCATAGCCTGCTTGTCTTCCTTTGGACATATTCAAGGAATGCAGACAACAGATAATATCTGTGTTTTCACTTAAACTTTATATTGATTAAATTTCCATGTTTAAGTTAAGGCAACTCTATTTCGTTTTATTAGTATAATCTATATGCAGATATAACTGGCAGTTATTTGGATAACATTTGCCTTGCAGGTTCAGAATGCTATTGAATATTTGGAGATTATTGGAGCTTTAGATGAGAATGAAAATCTTACGGTGCTAGGTAAGAATACATATATTTTGTTGTCCATTTTCTTCTCATTATTTTCATCTTTCTAAGATGTTTTAGGGAGGTGCTCTTGGGTTATTCCAACATGAACAAATATCAAAACAATTTTTTTTTTTTGATAAGTATGAACAAATATAAAATCATGCCGTTTACATTGCAGGACACCACTTATCAATGCTTCCAGTTGAGCCCAAACTTGGGAAAATGCTCATATTAGGGGCTATTTTCAACTGCCTAGATCCCATAATGACTGTTGTTTCTGGTCTAAGTGTCAGAGATCCGTTCTTGATGCCATTTGACAAGAAGGATGTAAGTAACTCATTGTTTCTGGTTGCCAATGATGTCCTAGTGTTGCTTCTATGTGCTTTTCTTTTTCTTTTTATTTATTCTTTAACTATTGTCCTACCTTGTATTGCATAGGAATGAACATTGATATATCTTTAGCTTTTTTGATTTTTTTATTTTTATGAGCCCTCATTTATTCAAGGATTACACATTGAAATTTTGTCATTTTTAACTCAAAACTCTCATTTTCTTTCAAAATTTCCAACTTTGTACATTAAAACACTCTCGTGACTTCAAAGGTATGTTGAATAAGGTCATTATTAACTCTGAACTCTCATTTTCTTTCAAAGTTTTAAACTTTTTACATAGTAAGTTGGAATGTTGGATTCAATTCTTGGTTGAAGCTGGCCTTATTTGGTGAAAGCCCATTTAGGCTACCTGGGAGCTTGGCTTATTTGCCCAGGCCCATTGTTTGAGTAACAGCCGCTGTTTCATTCTTGAAGGGTGTAGTGGGGATTCTTTTAATTGCATCAGCGGTCGTGAAAAATTTTCAACCTTACAACATTTGACCAAAGTGAACCAATGCACATTTTAATTATTGAATTCTTTTTTCTTTTTTTTTTGATAAGTGCTCCGGCATCTAAATCAAAAGGCAGCATATAATTATGGTTAGGTAAATTCTAGATTTACTATTCTGATGAGTGATGATAAATGATCTATTTCCAAATATTCATTATAATTATTGAATTCATTATAATTATTGTGTTTAGCTATGTCTAAAGTGCAATAAAATTGAAAATAAACTAAATTAACAAGTATTGAGATCAAGGGAAGAAGAACTTAGGGTTGACTTAACCGCTAGCCTCGTAACATGATCAATTGCTTCAACTATGGGGAATTCACTTTTATGTATACTCCGGAATTGAATGACTACAAGTACATTCTAATTCAATTCAAGAAGATAATTGATGGATTTTTATTGAATATATGTGTAACTTCTCTGATTTTTATTTCACTTTTTATTTTTTTGTCAAAAACAATTTATGTAGACTAAAATATAAATCATGTTAGATATCTACGGCATACAAAAAACAAATAAAGATTCACATGTTTTATGAGTGTAATTATTGACTTCCTTGCCCATAAAAAGAATCATTAACTTTTTTTTCCCTATTTGAAACTTACACACCCACTTTGCCCCTAAGGGGACTTGAACTCTGGACCTTTTATTTTGGAAGGTGAGGTAGTACCACTAAGCTACAATCACTACCTTCAAAAAGACAAAAGGGAATATTAAAAAAGAAGAAGAGTAGATCAGGAGATTTGTAGCCAGATTCATGAACAAGAATATTCAGGTGAAAACAGAACAAGAAACTGAAAATTGTTTACAATCCTACTGATTATTTTGCAAGATTCAAAAGCTTTTATCAAAGATCCACATTTTTTTTTTTTCACATCGAAGATCCACAGTTAAATCCTTTGTTTGTTTTTATTTTTTATTTTTATTTTTATTTTTTTTCCCTTTTGAATTTGTAAATTTAAGTTGTGTGTGTTTAGGTTTAGAGATTGAGACACTCGTTTCGAGGAAAGAACTGAGAAATATTGGAAAAAAGGGGCTCATATAATTGTGTGGCCAAAACAATGATGTTCACTGCCCTTCATGACCGTCATGACTGAGTAGCATTGAGTTAGTTGCTATTCGCAGACTCACCACATTATTTTGCCAACTTGGTTGCCACTGAGTCCGATATGACTCGGTTGAGTTGCAGCGAGTTTGAGAATCATGTCTGTGCCACACATTGATAAAAAGAGTTCATAAGAAAATTCATGAATTTAATGGAAGACTAGAAAATTCAAACACGATCAATTCACATGACCACCAGTAGGCAGTGGATAAAAGCACTGTTTAGTTGTACAGTATATATTGGCATTGAACTTCAACTCTGTGCTTCAGTTACATGCATCTCAATTAGTAATTGCCAATATACCATTCAGTCTCCCTCCCCCTTGCCTCTTTCTTCAATCTGCTGGATTGACACCCAGAATTATCTATGTCCCTTCTTAGGTTCTTCATTTAATGTGGATAACAATTTAAGTTGTGTTGGCATTCTTCAAATGAGAGTTTTTTAATTAGAGAGAGAGAGTCGCAGTTGGTAATAAGCAAGCTGGTGGCAATCTAGTAACAAACAAGTCGTGGCAAGTAGCTTTCAGGTAGCTTACCACTTTAGGTATCTTTAGAAATAAATAAATAAAAAGGCCTAATTTTTTATATTATTAATAAGTAATGTCAAAAGTGCATATGAAGCTATTATATCTGCTTTTTATTTTTATTTTTTTTAAAGTCTTGATGGTATCCCAACATAATTTTTTGATTTCATTCACATCGTATTACCTCCCATACTGTGTAAAACCTTCTTTAGTGTATGGGGCTCTATATATCTAATCATGTTTAACAACCAAATTGTTTGGGTTGGCCTTTTGTCCCTTTCAATCCTTTTATATTGTGTTGACAAGGTCGTCACTATAAAGGTTTTGAGAAATCTTACTCTCTTTTTCACTTTTTGTAGCTTGCGGAGTCTGCAAAGGCCCAGTTCTCTGCACGTGACTACAGTGACCATCTTGCTCTTGTCCGGGCTTATGAGGGTTGGAGAGATGCTGAAAGACAGCAATCTGGTTATGAATTCTGTTGGAGAAATTTCCTTTCTGCACAAACCCTAAAAGCCATTGATTCCCTTCGGAAGCAATTCTTATTTTTGCTAAAGGACGCTGGTCTGGTCGATAACAATATAGAAACTTGCAACACTTGGAGTCATGATGATCATCTCATCCGGGCAATTATCTGCGCGGGTTTGTTCCCTGGAATATGCTCTGTTGTGGTGAGTGATTAATATGTTAAAATTTTATTTTATTTTATTTTTTCCCCTTTCAAGCATTTACTAGCATTCTTTTTAAAATAAAAAATAAATAATAAAAATAAATAATAAATAAATTTCCGTCGCAGCCATCTGCTCTTGCATCATTTTTTATTGCTAATTTTATTTGATATATTAGTCACTTCAACCTAGGGTACAACTTGGGATCAACCAAAGAATTGGACCAAGTGACCAACTAAACCTGTTGGTTTGGCCTTTTAGGTTTACTGTTGTGGTCCTAGGTCTTTAAAATCGGATCTGATAAAGCTGATTGATTCTGGGTTGTGTTTTAGGTTAAACAACTGAACCTAAAACGGACTTTATAAACTTTAGCATATTCTTTTATTTATGAATAACATATTGGCACATTCATATCTTAGTTTGAGGTCTTATCTTTATCTTCTACCATAGTCTGCCTCTACATTCAATCACATCCAGATTATGAACTTACAGATCATTTCTTAGTTCTAGTTTTGGATCTAGGGTTTCTCAAGCAAAGACTCTATCCCGTGTAATAATTGCACTTGCAACGGTTTTGAACTTTCTGAATTATATTGCTCCAAATGGATTTTTCACGCTTGAACCTGCATTCTTATGCTTAGCAGGACGAGTTTTGACCTTGTTATCCGAATTTTAGGGTAGTATATGTATATTTTGGTTCTTTAATATGGACACGCTGACAGAATGATATGTTTACAGAAGAAAGACAAGTCAATAGCTTTGAAAACAATGGAGGATGGTCCTGTACTTCTGTACTCAGTAAGTTCCATCTTTTATTGCTGCAGTTTTCCATGAATAATTTTTGTATAAATTTCTTTCTTTTTGAATGAAATTGAGATCTGAGATTTCTATTTTACTTATGGATTGCAATTTTCTTTTCTTTTTCCTCCCAGAATTCTGTAAATGCACAAAAACTTAAAATTCCATATCCGTGGCTAGTTTTCAATGAAAAGGTGAAAGTGAATTCAGTGTTTCTCCGTGATTCAACAGCTGTATCTGATTCTGTGGTTCTCTTATTCGGAGGAAAAATTTCTAAAGGAGGCCTAGTAAGTTTATTAGTCATTGTACTCATTACTTCTTAGGATATTAACAATTGTCTTTTCAAATTCATTCTTATTCCACCATTTTTTTTGGAATCATTGCTTTATGATAGGATGGACACTTGAAAATGTTGGGAGGATACTTGGAGTTTTTCATGAATCCCGCCTTAGCAGGCACATATATAAGCTTAAAGAGAGAGCTTGAGGAACTAATTCAAAAGAAGGTAAGTATAACAGATTTATAATAGCTGCATGTTTGTGGTTTAAGACTTTAAGCTTGTTCAATTATTAGTTCTTTTAGATTTTTCTGTCATGTTACAGCCTAGTTTTTGAAGTTGAACTCTCCCTCTGAGACATATACAGGCACAAGTCTTCATACGCACGGACATCCACACTTAACTTAAAAAATTAACCAAGTCGTTCTTTCTTTTCTTGATGCCTACTTTTTATGGCAGCTCCTTAACTCCAAGTTGGAGATTCACAACCACAATGAGCTTCTATCAGCAGTAAGATTGTTGGTCTCAGAAGATCAATGTGAAGGTAGATTTGTCTTTGGTCGTAACCAGGTGCTTGCACCTCCAGAAAAGGCACCAAAAGACTCGAAGAGTGGCAGGGGAGGCGGCGGCGGCGGTGATAATTCCAAGAGTCAACTGCAAACATTGCTTGCAAGGGCAGGACATGGAGCACCAACCTACAAGACTAAAGAACTGAAAAAGAACAAGTTCCGTACCACTGTGATCTTTAACGGGCTGGACTTTGTTGGTCAGCCTTGCAGCAGTAAGAAAGTTGCAGAAAAGGATGCAGCTGACCAGGCTCTTCAGTGGTTGACGGGTGAGTCCCAATCATCCCACGACACAGTTGACCATATGTCTATGATTCTAAAGAAGAACAAAAAGAAACATCAAATTCATGATTCTAAGTGGCGATAGGTGCCTTTACAAGAGAAGCACTAAATGTCATTATTTTTTGCCGGGGAAGAAGATTTCCTGGTTCAGATTGAGATTCTTTTTGGACTTGAATGTGGAAGGATCTTTCTGGTCGAGTACTCACGACCAGATGGAAATTCACAGTTCAAATGTTGTATGATATGTCTAGTTCTTTTGAGAAGTGCGGGAATGAGACCCTTAAAAGACAAACTGGAGTTTCTAAATACTACAATGGAATTCACAGAAAATTTTGTCTGACAAATGCTACCTGTTACAGTTCAAGTATCAGTTTGATTAACGAAATACTGCATTAGGTGGCCACCATTATTAGTTTGAAGGGTTAGGTTTTCTAAGGAAAAAGAATAAGCAAGATAGTATTTATATATGTAAAAAGTTATTGAGCTATTCTAGATTTTGTTGCATTTATTTATGTAAATTTCGTCTTTTTTTTGAAAAGAAATTATTGGTGCAAAGAATCCTCTGCCTCCTTAATTTTTCATGCTGAGTATTAACCAGGAAAAAAAAACCTCGAATCAGTCACCTCTTTTGTAGACTGCAAGTTCTCTGTTAGATGCTGTTTTATGAGACATGAAACAAGCAAACACAAAACACACAATCTCTCTCTCTCTCTCTCTCTATATATATATATATATATGTTGTGACGGCTCTGGTGTTTGGTTTAATAAATTGTCTCTTTCTTGTTTTGGGGGGACAAGTATTCATTAGTCTGTAGTTTTGAAGTAAACAAGATGATGAATGTAGCATAATTCAAGTATCAAGAGGATCTGGTTAGACCTTTGACGAAGCTTGATTTTGATTAGTTTTAGTGTAAATCAGTATGCACCACCTACTATGGGGAATTTTCTTACTAGTCTCGAGTTCCATAATTGGAATTTGAATTAAGGATGTCATGCTATGTATGAATGGACGGACCATTTTGGTATATCCCCATCAATGATCCTCACTGCTAATAAACTAAAATATATATATTTCCCCAAAAACAAAAAGAATAGACTTGGGGCTCAAGTGATTGAGATTGCTTGCTGGGTTATAATTTGTTGGTCGAATTTTGACGATTTGTAGAATTATTTTCTCATTGAATACAACTCAGAGCTTGTCTTATTAAGTGGATGTGTTTGACCAGTACTCCTATATTAGTGAGGATAGAATATTTTAGAATTGTTGATGCAGGGATATTTATTTATTATTATTATTTTTATTTTTTTGTACTTAGTGGTTTTATCTAATCATGGTACCATGTATTATTGCAACGCCTTCTTTGTTTGGTAATTGGTTGTTACTAGTTGTTTTAGGAAATTCGATTTTGAGTCTTTGCACTCATTAATATATTATCTAATAATTTTATAATAAAAATAAAAACTAAAAATAAAAATCATATCTTATTTTAAGTATAGTGTACAAATATGAGAGAAATGTTCAATTTATTATTATTATTTTCAACATTGAGGGCCTACTGATGTAAGATCTGGCGAATCGAAAACAATTAACTGTGTTTAGAGCGGCATCCTCCCCTCTAACTTTCTTACAGAACTGTGCCAAGAGTTCTATTATATATTTTATTCTCTAATTATATACCTAATATACAAATAATAGCAACTCCATAAATTTAAGATTTTACTTTTAAATTTTAATCTCGACAACACATTTCGCTTCATATAAATATTTAAATTTTTAATTACTCAATGAAGTTACTAATCAATTATTTAAAAAAGTAAATTTATTTTGATAACTTATATATATATATATTTTAATTAAAATTATAAAATAACTTTTCATCACATGCACCTGTTTTACTAATTATAATAAAATTTCAAAACCCACCATAAACACTCCTATATAAGTAAAAATGTCATCACTCATCACCATTAACGGAGCTACAGTTTTCACGAAGATTGTTCAATTGAAGTGAGAATGTGCTTCAAAAATTAACGCTAGGTTGATACAAAATTATGCTTTTGCACTTTAACTCACAAATTTAAATGACTTAGACAAGTCGTGTATTTTAATGTCAATATTAAAAAGTTACTAATTCATTTGCTACATGTAAAAACGGAATAAATCTAAGAGAAGTTACTTTCACAATATAATCTCCTGTGACGTAGAATATCTGGAAAAAAAAATAAAAAAAATTTAAATTGATACAAATAAAGCATGAAATGGGATCAAATTTCAGTTTTTTTTAAAAAAAACAAAAAAAAAAAAAAAAAAAAAAAAAAAAAAAAAATCGAATTATAATTTTAAATTGAAAGATAGATTTTTTTTTAATCCTTCCCTATGCATCAAAACAAGGTCCTACAGAAATATTTTAAAAGATACATTTCAACGAGACATCAAATCAGTAATATATAAAACCAGTCCCCCTCTGTATGCATGCTACAAAACATGCTGCCACGTCATCAAAATCTGCGTGGTACTCCGAACCCGAGTCTTGTGGTCCCTCTTGTCAATTGGGCAGCCATTATATATTTGTCCTTGCGTTAATCAATATTCTAAGATTCTGATTTTACAATTTACCCCTTCTGTTTTAATGATTCTCGTATTACGTTGTGTCATTGTTCTTTATAAATTTGTCCTTGCATTGATCAATATTCTAAGATGCTGATTTTACAATTTACCCCTTCTATTTTAATTAATCTACCATAATAACATTATTAAAACCACTCCATCGTGATAGTGCATTTATGACCGCAATAAACCCCCCAAAAAATTAATTTATCCTCCTTATTAAGTAAACAAATCTCAATTGTTTTTATATACTATATTAGTGTGAATATCCATATCACTAGTTCGAAAAAAAAATTCTGACATTTATAAGGACTTTTTATCTATGTAAATGCGTTTTAAAATTGCAAAAATCAATGCAAAACAAACAAAGAATAAATCTGATAGAAAGTTAGAGGTTATGAGGATTAGGGTTAGCTTGAGTATTAATACATAAAAAGAAATAAAAAGTAATTTTCAATTTATTATTTTAGAAAATTTCAGTAAACAGAGTCTAACAAAAACTCTTCTTGTTACACAGAGTCTCTCATCTTCAAGTGATCGCCACATTAGTCGGTACTAACGAGATGGATGGACAAGTTTATCCTTCTTTTTTTTCATAAAAAAATATGTAATAAATTTTTTACCAATATGACAAATTCGTTACAATATACAAAGTGTACGGGCAGTTTAGTCATTGGAAAAAATCTCACCCCTTTAAAATCGTCGGTGGTGCTCTGATCACATTGTCTCTATTACGTGTCTCACGCTTTCTCTCTCTTTGGTTTAAGGATAGAAGAAAAAATGGAGAGAGAAGGACAAAAACCATCTTCTCTGACCGCACCTTTGATTCAAAATTCTGAAGGAGAAGATAGAAATGGAATTGGTAGAGAGAGAAAAAGTGAAAATGGGTTTACTAGGAAGGAGATTGTGGAAGAACTGAAGAAGCAGATATGGCTGGCAGGGCCTCTCATATGTGTCAGTTTATTACAATTCTGCCTACAGCTCATCTCTGTCATGTTTGTGGGCCATCTTGGAGAGTTGGCTCTCTCTGGTGCTTCAATGGCCACTTCATTCGCATCTGTTACTGGTTTTAGCTTGTTGGTAAGTTGAGTTTCTATTTAATTTGTCGTAACTATATGCCTTCTACGTTCTCATAGTCTTTAATTGATATGTGTTTCTTTGGAGCTCTGTTTAGGTTTCAGATGTTGATGTGATGGTTTTATATGTATATGTCTCTGTGTATATGTATAGATTGAGTAGGTTATCCATTAATTCTATATCTCCCTATTTGAGTTTGTTTCTCTTAACTATAATATTACAATATGAATTTATTCAAGAAAAAAATAAAGGAATAAGGAAATTATGCCTTGATTACTTTCTTTTTGGGTTGTTATTTTATTTGTTGTCTGCTTCTAATTAATGTTCTTGAGTTATGGGTTATAGACTGTACTGCTCCATCAGTCTGTTGATGTTGATAAGCATGTATACATTATAAATATATAGTTACATATATATAATAGACTATATATAGGGCTCCATTAGTCCATTGATGCTGATAGGTATATATAAACTATACTGTAAATATATACATATATATGTGTGTGCATATGTATGTGTATTTGTAGACATATATTGTGAGGATTCTCTGCAGTTTGGAAATATGTACAATGTCTCTTAATTTCAGAATAAAATATGCAAAAAAAAAGTGGGAAACTTGATAATTTCATTAATGTAATATTTGCTTGTCTACATGTAAATATGTGATCTTATAGTTTGTTTAGTATATACAAAATGTGTTCCACTATTGTTTGGCAAACGAGCTTCTCAGCATCATCACACAATTTTGTGCTTGAAATAGGCTAGTGTGTTCATTTAGATGATTGTAAAAATATCTTTTAACTATAAGAATTTGATCTTTCACAATTTTATAGCATTGATTTTTTATAGTTTGAACTTTGAAATTATTCGTTTGACAAAACCTAGTTAATTATATAATTGTCCAAAAGTTCTTTTAACTTGTTTATGTTTGAGTAGATGGGAATGGCAAGCGCATTGGATACCTTTTGCGGCCAGTCATATGGAGCAAAACAATATCATATGCTTGGCATACACATGCAGAGAGCTATGTTCATTCTTTTACTTGTGAGCATACCCCTTGCATTCATCTGGGCAAACACGAGCGCCATTCTCAAGGCCTTGGGCCAAGATCCTGCCATATCAGATGAAGCCGGACTTTATGCAAATTTCATGATTCCCAGCCTTTCTGCATACGGCCTTCTTCAATGTCTCGTCCGGTTCTTACAGACCCAAAACAATGTCTTTCCGATGATGCTAAGCTCCGGAATTACAACTCTACTCCACGTCCTTGTATGTTGGGTCCTAGTGTTCAAATCTGGCCTCGGTAACAGAGGAGCTGCCTTGGCAAATTCCATCTCTTATTGGATCAATGTGTTATTATTAGTACTTTATGTCAAGTTCTCCCCTTCCTGTGCAAAAACTTGGACTGGCTTTTCAAAGGAGGCCCTACACAATATCCTCACTTTTCTTAAACTCGCAGTCCCTTCCGCTGTCATGGTCTGGTAAGTTTCTACTTCTTAGTGGAAACGAAAAAGAACTGAAATTTACAGCCATAATTGAATTGTCACAATTGCTTTTAATCTCAGGCTCTCAGCCCAGTTTCTTCTTTTGTAATTTTTTTTCTTAGTAATTAGATGGTACGTAAGCATCTTATCAGTTATCATGCTTAATCTTATTCTGCCACCGTGTTCGTAGACTAATAATGTGATTTCTACTATTACTTTGAGCAGCCTGGAGATGTGGTCATTTGAGATGATGGTTCTATTATCTGGTCTTCTACCCAATCCCCAGTTAGAAACTTCAGTGCTTTCTATCAGGTAATAATTATCCATATATGTACCTTGAAATATCAGAATACTCAATTGAAAAGAGTTGTTTTTTTAACATACTCTATGATTTTGTTAATTGCTAATATAATGCTTATATCCCCAGCCTTAATACAGCCGCGACAGTTTGGATGATTCCCTTTGGGCTTAGTGGTGCCGTGAGGTCAGTTATGCCATTGCAAATATAGTGAATTTCTCTTTCCTTTGTACCAAGGTTTTGAAATTTTGATGACATTTCAAAAAAATTGGCAATGGATTTTGATCTAGAACCATTTCAAATTTCCACATTTTTTTTTCAAAGTTTTGGACTTGGGTTCTTACCTGGTTGAATTAGATGATGCAATTGAAATATAAAACCATGCCTCCTATTTCCTTGATTTAATTCATATATTGTAATGCAATTATTGTTTTTTCCTATATAGCACAAGAGTCTCAAATGAGTTGGGGGCTGGGCATCCTCAAGCTGCACGTTTGGCAGTGCGTGTCATCTTAGGCATGGCCATTACTGAGGGAATTGTGGTTGGATCAGTCCTAATATTGATTCGTAACATCTGGGGCTATGCTTACAGCAACGAAAAAGAAGTGGTCAGATATGTAGCTATCATGATGCCAATTGTTGCGGCATCCAACTTCTTGGATGGACTTCAATGTGTTCTTTCAGGTCTCTTCTACATTTATAATATCATATACATTATCTTTCGTTGGCTCTTGATCAAAATATAAACAAACAGAATTTATTAACGTTTAGGTACTGTCAGAGGATGTGGGTGGCAGAAGATAGGTGCTTTTGTTAATCTCGGGTCATATTATCTTGTGGGCATTCCTTCTGCTGTTCTGTTTGCTTTTGTTTTCCACATTGGAGGAAAGGTAATTGCTTGTCGTTCTCTTTTTCAGAGGCATCTGTTGCTTTTCTTCTTCACTTCATTGCAGTCAAGTGATATATATGTGTGTGTATATATATTTATTTATGTAATTCTTGTGTTGAAATTGTTTGTTGTAGGGCCTTTGGCTGGGGATTGTATGTGCCCTTGTTGTGCAAGTGTTGTGTCTTCTTATCATTATAGCACGGACTAACTGGAACCTAGAGGTAAAACACGCTAACCTTCTCAACGTACTTCGATCTTCCCCATTCTTCTGATTGGATCTCTTTCATTGTCTCATTTTGATCCTCTCTTCTCTGTTTTAGGCAAAGAAGGCTACGGATAGAGTCTACGACTCTATGATCCCGGTGGATGTAGTCTCATAAAGCTCTACAAGTCACCGCATTATAATGGTGAAAAATCACTACATTGAGGGCAAAGACATAAGTACTGCAGATGGTAGGAAATTTTGAATTCGGTAGTCTAAAAATTACTGAATACTTGTTACTTTATGTCATATGATCATCCTCTACTGTCCATGTTGGAAGCTCTGATGCTTAAAGAAAGTTGGCTAGTTGTATCTCTACAATAAATGTTGAAGTACTGTACTCGAAAATAACACCTCACGTTCATAATTTAAGGAATTGATTAAAGAGCATCCTCCATGTTCATAAATTCCATTCTTTAGTATTATTATTATTCTATTGCTTCCACATATATGATATATCAACATTATGATTATCCTTTATGTGAGGTTGCAGTGTTTTACATATGAATGTGTGCTCATCCGGTACAAATGGAATCATCAAGAAAACTAAAATTTGAAAATTCTGTTAGATCTAAATTTCTATATATATCTATATAGTTTTTTTTTTTGGAATTATTTGTATTTAACAAAAATTGATCTTGAGAGTTGATACTTAATAAGGTACTAGGCCCAAGTTTTTTCAACTAGGTCAATTTTGAGTTGATATTAACTATTTTAGTTAAGTGATGTAAGACAATATATGGGTCCACACCACAAATATGAATGAGAAGGTTGAAAACGGGAAGTGAGTAGGTGTGTGTGTGTTAAAAAAGGAAAAATAGTTGGTGTGTCTCTGTGTGGTTGTGGTAATAATGTGAGAAATAGTGAAATAATAAATAAAAATGTGCGTGCACTGCGTAGTAGTGTGATTTACGCATAGGATGGTGTCAGAGTTTAGATACTTCCTTCTCAAAATAGTTGGATGTTTTGGGTGCTTTGGAAACTGTGATTTACAAAATTATATTTTGGGACAAAGAAAATAGTAAGAGTGAGGATCATAAACCAAGCAAGACGAGAAAATAGAAAGGGTAACATATGTATAGTGATATTATATGTATGTATGCTTGTGAATTTAATAAAATATGTGAGCATCAATGTGTGGAATATTGTATACCAATCTCATTCGAATCGTACTAGTATAATATGTACCCGCTTGTACAACATTTACGACTCATATGAGTCCAGTGCACAGTGCGTCTGGTGCATCCCATATCTTCTCCAATGTGGGGAATTAAAGAAGACAAGATTTGTGTGGCCGTGGGCTTGATCATCGGACTGCACTCAAATGGTCTTAGCTAAGGGTTCCTTTTGAACCTTTATTTGGGCTTATTTGATCTGTTTTCTTTGGGTGAGCTATTGGCCTGTGTAACTGATAGGCTTTATGTTGACTCGATGGCCCTCTCAGTTTCCCATGATTTGGGCTTGTTTTCGCCGAAGCCGAAGGCTCTCCATGTACATACACATTCTTTATATTTAGGAAAATGATATTTGTATGAATTTATTGTAGTGAATTTTTAAACATATTTTTTTTAATCAATGGCAAAGAAAGTGGGATCCGTCACTTATTTGTATTGTACATAAATAAACAATAAAAAATATTCCTTTATGTAATTTACTGTAACAAATAATTTTGAAAAAAAAAAAAAAAATCTAATTAACACATCTTGAAATGAAGAATTATATATGAAATTATAACTCTTTTGAGTTTAGAGTTATAATCTTGATGTTACAGAAGTGTTACCGTCTTCGACAGCAAAGCGTTACTCTCATTTAGAGTTTACCAATGCAGACATACATCAAATATGACATGGCTACTTGCATTGCCAAAAATTTTTTAGACTTCTCTACACCCTTTCAAAATTGTCTATAGAATTGTTTTAAACTTGTTTTAATGCGTGTAATATTCTCTAAAATTTTCTATATAAACTATTCTTCGGGGAGAACTCTCGTTTCTACATATTTAGAATATTTTAGTAGAGGTTAAATACCTATATAAGGAGGTGATAGCTCCTTCCTATACACCCAAGCAATATGCTTATTTAAATGAATTTATATTTGTTCAACCACGAAAAATCAATAACCAACTCTTAAACATTAAAATCACCCAAATCAATTGTTTCACTACCAAAATCAATTGTTTCACACTGTAGAAACTATAGAGATGGAAAAAAGTAACTATCCAATAGACAAATTAGAGAATTACCAATATTTTTTGTATAATTAGGATTACGTATAACAAATACAAGTTCAAAAAATAATTGATGAAAAGTGCCCAATTAATATATATATATATATTACAAATATAACAGCCTTTAAGATGGTAGTTTCGTATTTGACAAATATGAATACAATTTGAATCCAAATTATCCCTCACCAATAATTTTCATTTCCCTCCATATCACCACCATTTTCCTCTCTATATCACCCCACTATCCATCTGAACAAAATCCAACCACCATCCACACCAACGGATGCCACCACCATTTTCCTCTCTATATCACCCCACTATCCATCTGAACAAAATCCAACCACCATCCACACCAACGGATGCCACCACTACTCCAAACAACAGATCCAAAAACAAAAAATCCACCACCGCCAATCACTGTAAAATTCCACCGCAACCACCACCCCATCATCATCATCTCACTTCTCCAACAATTTTGCTTAATCTATTCTCTCTATGTATCACCACCCATATATCATCATCTATATCAACACGTACCCACCAGTCACCACCATCGAGGGGCGAAACCAATTAAGGCTTAGGGGACACGTGTCTGTGCCATATATACATAATATGTATTTTACTTATATATATGGAAGAAGTTTTATAGAAATGTTAGAAAATGCCTCCTAAAATTTAAATTTTTTTAGTTAAACCCTAATTTTGTTTTCCTTCAATTTTTTTTTTTTTTTTTGTTTTTCTTTACTCTTTTGTTTTTTCTTTATTCTTCTTAAAATTTTACTTTTTACACTCATGCATGAGATATGTACTATAACATTTTTTGTCTTTTTTTTTTTCCGCTTTTCTTTTTATTTGCTTTCATGAACTCTACTTGTGTCTGTATATTTTTTGAATTTTTTCTTTAATGTAATATTTTGTAAATATTAATTAATGCAGTGTTATTGCATTTCTATATTTTGGATGGTGCATTTCTATATTTTGGATTTGTATCTTATTGCATTGTTAGTTTCAATATGTTTCTTTTAAAATTGATTTCTGCTTCATTATTGTTTTTATTAAGACTATAATGCATCCTTAAAGCAACTAAGACTAATTAAATTAATAAAAAGCATGACACAGTTGATTTATTTTTATTTTTATAAAGTACACTTCGCCCGAAATAAAATCATGACTCCACACTGCACTTGCCATGCACCACCCATATATATTTAAAAGTGTTTATATATGTATATATATATATAATACCACCGTTCCCACCACGAAAGTGAATTGAGAGAGAGTGGAAATGGATATGAGAATGATATAAAGAGGGCATTTTGAATCAAAGTAGTATATTTATCGTATCGATAATTAATTTTATTTAGTGACTCTCTCATCCATATGCTATTTAGATACGGTGGTATTGGTAATCTAAACGCATCAAATTACAACATTCGTCTATTTTTAATTCAACAAACCAACATGCCAAATCTCACCCAAGAAATTTAGAATGGAGAGGATATATTACCTCATTTTTTCAATTTCCACATTGCAAAACCATGAACTCAATCTGTTATGTATTACAGTTTCCTAATTTTGATAGAATAACAAAATAAAAATAATTAAAAAAAACTTGTTGACTCATGAACTCAATGATGTGATAATGATGTCATCTTCATTTGCATAAAATAATTGAACACATTTAACTTCCGACTACTTCACATGAGACTAAATCATTATTCAATTTTTATTGGTTTAGAAGCAAGTTATATGATAGTACTATTTATTTTTTGTAGTGTAAAGTTCAAAAAAATCTTGTTAACTATGTTTGAATTTGCAAACAACTCCCTCCCTAAACTATATTTTGTTGCAAAATATCCGCCTAGACTATACATCATTAAATGACCATAATATTATTTTTTAAACTCTAAGTTTTTTTTGCACTTTATCCTAAAACAAATATTAATAACATTGTCATTAAGACTCAGATTAAATTGCTGATTAGTTCAAAAACTTAGAGTTTGATTTTGGAACTTGTACATAAATATGTTTTGTTCTTGAATTCATGCATTATTGTGATGCTTTCGATTTGTTGAGCTGACTTTAACATTGTTTCCGAATTAACTCATTTGCTCGAGACATTTTCTGATCTGAAAGTTCAAAGTGGTTAAAGAGTGAATTAATTTTTTGTTATCCAAAAAAATAAAAATAAATAAATAAATAAATCATTTGCTTGAGCACTTTTTCCTAGTTCCATTTTATTATTATTATTTTCCTAAGAACTTTTTCCTATTTCCATTTTACAAGTCTTAACATGTGTATCCCTTGCAACGGAAAGTTAACAAGTCTCAATATAAGTTGGGCCAAAGTCAAGTTGTCCATTTTTCTTCTATCTACTTGCAGAGATAGAGAGAGAATAGGAAGTAGTAGTAGACTAGTAGTTCGTGCGTGCGTGCGTGCGTGCGATCAGTGCGTGGACATATGTATTAGATGAATGGTTTAGATATGTCCATTGCACGGTGCAAAGGGGATAATGAAGTTTTAACTGTTCCCCTCTTTCTCCAAGCTTCTGACATCCATTCCTGAGCAACTCCTCCACTTTCGGAATGGACTGAATACGGGAATGCTCCTTCTTTTGAGATTCGAGCTAGGCTTTCACCCTTCGCTTATGTTGCCAAAGCATGGAAGTGGGCCTATAATCAAGACTTTTTCGACTAATGTGTTAATCTTAATAAGCGAAGTGCTCCAATGCCTGAACTTCAAGGCGACACCCGTCTCGTTAAAGCCTTGGCTATTGTGACTGATCGGGGATTAGTTCTGCCGGGAAAGGAGTCAAGGGTTACCCGTGTACAAAGAAGACCAAGTACTATGTCCTTGCTATTCTTCTTCTACCTTGCCTTACCAATCTTAAAGGGCAGAGAGTCCACGAATATTGGGGCGCACCGTATACCGAGTTCATTCGAATCGTGTGTGCAACATACACCTGCACATACAAAACACCTACGATTTAAATGAGTCCGATGCACAATGTGTCGGGTGCATCCAATACCCTTCTCCAATGTGTGGTGGGTTAAAGAAGACAAGATTTGTGCGGCCGTTGCGGGCTTGATCCACTCAAATAGTATTAACTGAGGGCTCCATTTGCTTCTTTATTTGGGCCTATTTGATCTGTTTTCTTTGGGTG